CCTCCTGTGGAATCTCTGGACCTTCCCACAATCCCAAAACTAAAGGAAGCCTCCAGAACCCTTTTATGTTTCTAAGGCTTCTCCACTCTGATTGGTTGGGACTCAGACCATACCAATCTTTAAATATTTATCTATCCCCCCACCATGGTGATTTCACTAATGCCTAGTGAAGACACACCAATGGCTGAGGCAGGGGCTGAGACAACAAGTATGTTACCTGAGCAGCCCTGGCACCCTCCGGGGGTGGGGGGAGCTCTGGGAGGCAGGAAAACCTTCGGTCAAATATGCACCTATGGAGATGGGCATCCAGGGAACGGAAGTCATCATAACTACGGAGAACTGGCCAAGAACGGCCCTGTTGGAGCAAGAGGGACAGAAGAGAACAGTGGTCCCATTACATTGAGCAGGACCATGGCGGCCAGTTCCTCAAGCTACATGAAAAGCAAGGGTGGCTTTACCTGACAGGTCACCTGCACCCCAAACACCAGCTCATTCTCTCCAGAGAGGCTGGGGCCTTCACGTTCTGGAGATAGGAGGAGCTGCAGAGGGAAACAAAGGCCCACATGAAGGCCTCACTTTTGTCTCAATCCTGACCTCTCTAAATTGGCACTATCTAGGGATGGGTCTGTGTCACCCTCCTGAACCTTCCCAAAGATAGGACTTAGTGATCTTTTGGTCAGAGTATAGGGCTCTGGCACAGAACAGATAACTAAGAAAAAAATCAGTGAATGAATAAGTCAAATAACAATTGGATGAACAAATGAGCAGCTCTCCCCATCTGCCCTAGCCCCTGCAACTCCTGCTACTGACTGCTCAGACAGGAGGAGCAGCTAGTATAGTAACAGACTTCAGTGATAAAGCAGTTGATATTGGTTCATGTTTGGGTAGGATCTCACCTTCCCATCTGGATGCAAAGACCCCATACCTGAATGTGGCCAAAGTCAACGTTCTCATAGTGGAAATGGGCACAGTCAGCCAGGCGGGGGAAGGGACCTCGAGGAGCTGAGAGCCTGGGAGAAGGTGACACATCACCAATGACTCCCTCCTTCAGGCTCCCTCCCTCTTTAAGCTTCCCTTCTTCCTAAGCTAAACCTTTTCCTCCATCACCCCTCACCTCTTCCCAGGCTTCCCCTTCACATTGGGCCCCCCAGTTGGGGGTACAGGTTGCACTGTGCCTTCCCCTGAGCCATCCAAGCTGTCAGTGCTGCGGGCCTGTAGAGCATAGAGAAGAATCAGAGGCTCCCAGAGATGGGAGCAAAGAGACAAAAGGAGCATTGTTATCTGCCAGCCTGGACCTACAGGCCCAGGTTGCTCCTTGCTCCATGTTTTCCTGAGCATGGGGCAAAATGGTAGGTCACCAGGAGGTAAGGACTGGACTGAGGATAGGCTTCTTCATGTGTGGTCTAGAGTGGAGGACTAGAGGAACAGGGGCCAAGGCATGGGTCATCAACAGGAGAGAGAGCATAGTGGGCTCAGCTCTCCCTGTTTAAGACCCGTCAGTAGCCTCTGCAGGGTACAGTTATCTCCTGCCACACTCTGGACATTCACAGTTCACATCTTGTCAGTCCTCTGCTTCTAACCCCTCCCTTCCTTCCAGATTCTTCACAAGTGCCAGGATCACCCAAATTTGGCCCTGTCTATCCATAGATCTGGACCTTCAATGGCTCTCTGCTGTCTTCAAGATGAAGTTGGAAGTCTCTGGTCTGATATTCAAACTTCTCTAAATTGGTTTCTGTTTACCTCTCCAGTCCTGTCTCTCCCCATTGTCCCTACTCTCAAAGCTCTTGAACTTCTGAGAGTCCAGCAAAAGCACCACCTTCTCATTTCTTTCTATGCTTTTGCACATGCTATTTCCTCAGCCTGAAACCTTTGTCCCCACCCTATCATTAGGTCCTCTCCTCACCCCTCAGGCCTCAACTCACATATGTACTACTCCAGAAAGCCTTTCTTGATCTTTTAGGCTGTGCCAGGCATCTCTTCTAGACTCTCTCCATCCTCTGAGGTCCTCCAATCCCAAGCTCCACAACTTTACCTGACTTTGTCCCATCATAGCCCTGAGCACTCCTGAGATGCCACTATCTGGTGACAAGCCCATCTCCCCCACTGGACTTTTTATCTCCCCAGAAACAGGGCCCCAGGCTGAGACACCCCAGCACACCCAGCACAGAGGTGGGCACAGTTGCTACTCTTCATAGGGAAGATCATTCTGCATTCCTCTCTGGATCTGCAATGCCCAGTGCCAGCCCCATTGTACAGCATGGGCTAGGTAAAACCTGATGAATAAATTAGCCAACTACCAGATGGGAATTCAGGGATTCCCCACATTGGGCTCCAGTTTCTCCCTCCTCCATGTCCCTGCAACCCGGAGTTCATCCCTGGGTCTCACCCTCAGGGTCTGTCCCCTGCCAGCCCATGAAGCTCCCCAAGGCAGGATGGGATCTGACTCTCTCTGTGCCTGGAGCATGTCTGTTGAGTGAGGGAATGAGGTACAAATGGATGAATGGATGAATGGTGGGAGAGGGAGCCAGTGGAGGAGGGGAGATGAGCACAAGAAGATGGAGAGGACCCAAGGATCAAGGGGAGGTACAGTACTGGCTTGTTGGGTGGAGTAAGGAGGGGAGCGGCTGGAAAGGCTAAGGTAAGGGTTCTGACAGATGGGGGGCCGGGGATTGAGAGGAGCTGGGATGGGGGTGAAAATGAGGGAGAAGGAGAAGAAAAGGGTCAGGCTGAGGATGAAGCCGGTGGGGGTGGGGCTCAGGAATGAGAAAGGGGCTGTTGGGAGGAGGAGGAGGCTAGACCAGGGGGGAGTGAGGGTGTGGATGAGGATGCCGAGGAAGGCGCTGGAATGGAGACTGGTTTCCAGGGAGCCTCAGCAGACCCCTGCGGGGGCCACTCGCGTGGCGCGGGTCCTTCCCTGGACCAGTCCCTCCTCGAAAGCCTGGGTCCTCGGCCACTGTCAGCCCCATTTAGGGCGCGGAGAGGGATGCGCGGAGGGGGCGGGGTCGATGTAAGGGCTCGGACCCAGGACCTGGCCTGGGGACTAGAGGGATCGCGACGAAGGGTGAGGGGCGGCGCAGGCCGAGGGTCCGGGCGGGGCCAGGGGCGGGGCGCGCAGGGAGGGGCCGCGCACGGACAGAGTGACACGCGGACCGACAGACTGACGGCCGCGTGGGCCCCTCACCACCATAGTCGCGTAGCCTCCGTCAGGCCCCGGCCGCGCTAGACCTCTCGTTCATGGTCCTCGTCGCCGCAGCCGCCGCCGCCATGGCGACACAAAGGGGAGGGCGCGAGCCGCGCGCGGGCGGCTGCAGACCCCGCCCCTAACGGCCGCCGGTGGTTTCAGCGCGCGCCCCACGGGGGCGGGGGTATAACGGGGACGCGGCGCCGCTTCTCATTGGCCCCACCCTTGGCCTTTTGGCGACGCCACGCCCACCTGGAGTTTTTTCATTGGCTTTGTCTTGGGTACCACCCCCGGCTCTGTCTCTCTTCGGTCCCACCCCCGAAGTTTGACAGCGCCACGCCCATGACTGCTTTTTATTGGCTGTCATCCTCCTCCTGAGACACACCCCCAGGTTCTTTATCCTTTGCTTCCGACATTTCTAATATTAAGCAATAGACCGTCCTCTTACTTGACTCTCAGTGATCACTACTCCGACATTCTTAATTGGATTCTCCCACGGCCTTAGGGTTTGGGTCCAGTCCTCGAGCAGCTTTTCAAAGCCTCGGTCCTCTACTCCCACCTTGTGGGTCCAGACCCTGACCCCACCCACAGAATCAGGAGGGCGCTCCGCCCACTTTCGTTTTTTATTGCCTCGCACACCCTGCGTGGGATAAAATCTTCAGTCCTCTACGACTTGCCTTCGGCGTACCCACTGGACATTTTCCTCGTCTCCCCTTCTACTGCTTATTACAAACATCCTCGACTCCTTTGTCCTGGAGAAAGGTTTAACCCAAAATGCTAGAACATGATCTTGCCTCCCATAAAGCCACTCTCAATTATTCCTACAACAGATTGAGCCGTGACCAGGAGACACTCTGTAACAATGCTCTTTCCAAGAGGACGCTGTCGTTGGTCATACCCTCAGAAGAGCCTTCACCTCAAGAGAGCATACCTTGGTTTATACACTCATTCATTTCATAAAAAACTCAGACCAATTTTGTGAATACATCAACAATCAAAACAGGAAAATATACCCTACCCACATTGAAACTCAAAGCTGACGGAAAAAGACAATGAACAATATTTTAAAACAGCCTGGCACAGTTGTGCAAACCAGTGATCCCAGCCACTGGAGAGACCAAGACAGAGAATTACAAGTCTGAGGCCAGGCTAGGCAATTTAATGAGACAGTCTAAAAAATGGACCAAGACTGGCCTGAGGATGTAGATCAGTGCTGGCCAAGGTTGAATCGCCAGTGACACACACACAAAGAACCGTGAAGTATCCTGTTGAGAAGTGTGACTATCTTGAGGCAGCCATACTTTGAGGAAGTCCAAATCAATGGAGAGAGGACATATGAGCATTATAGTCAACAGTCCCAGATGAGTCTAGTCTAAGTTTTCTGAGCCTTGAAGTGGTGCCAGACTGTCAATGAAGAAGTTCCAAAGGATTCCGTCCCATAGCCGTTAAGCCACCTTTTGAGTTTCATGTGAAGAGAGCAGAGACAAACTATTCCCAGCTTTGTCCTCTCCAAATTTCCAGACTCACAGAATACATGAGCATAGTGAAATTATTGTTATGCCACTAAGATTTGGGGGTAGTTTTTTACCCAGCAGTAGTAACTATGGTGGTCCCTTGTGAATTAGATAATTCTTAAGTGGCTTAACTTAAGTGTATCTCTTCACAAATCAGCTCACTTGCTCAACTAGACCAGGTTCTTCTACTATAAACATCCCTTTATTTCTCCTTATGTCTAAACAGCTATTATCTTCTTGTTTATTTCCCTTTAATGTATGGTTTGTTCTAAAAGTCAGGAAATCATGTTTCTGACACACAGAGCTGCTGTTAGAAATCCATCCTAACCCAACTTTTATTTTTTATAGACAGGTATAACAATCTTGGTCAAATATTCTCCATCATTTTATTTTAAAGTTTCTTATAGCAAGTTGAAAAATTTTAGAGGACATCCACATATCCAGTTAGATCTTGCCATTAACATTTCATTTTATTTGTCTTATATCTGTTACTTTATTCATTCATCAATCCAATTAATCTTTGATGCATTTTAAAATAAATTGCACAGGGCTGAGGATGTGACTCAAGCCGTAGTACGCTCGCCTGGCATGCGTGCGGCCTGGGTTCGATCCTCAGCACCACATACAAAGATATTGTGTCCGCTGAAAACTAAAAAATAAGTATTAAAAAAAATTAAAAAATAAAATAAATTGCACAGGTTGTTATACTGCCCCCTAAATATTTAAGCATGCATATCTTTATTTTTCTTTTGTGATAAATCTGTACCTACAATAAAATTCACTGAGTTTGATAAGTGTGTAATCTATCCCCAGCATAGTAAATCAGGTTCATTTTATTTTTTTAAACATGGACTCTAAAACAAGGATCAGAAAGGGAGCCAAAGGAAACCAAATGGATGATATCATCTTTTCTGAGTTTTGGAAGTTAAGCTGCATCCTTTCCTCTGTACTCTATTGGTTGAGTGGCTGTTTCAAAGAGAAGGAATGTAGACTACCTCTTGGCAAGTGTCAAAGAACACATAAGCCAGATGTGGTGGCACATGCCTGTAATCTCAGTGACTCAGAAGGCTGAGGCAGGAGGATCACAAGTTCCAGACCAACCTCAGCAACTTAAGCAAAGCTCTAAGGACTTAGTGAGAACCTGTCTCAAAATAAAAACATAAAAAGGGGGTGAGGATGTTGCTCAGTGGTTAAGTGCCCCTTGGTTCAATCCCTGGTACCCGCCCCTCCCCCCAAAAAAATACACACACATTTTTCTAAAAGTTATACTCTATGTATGTATACCTTTGTTTATTTTCATGTGGTGCTGAGGATTGACTCCAGTGCCTCACAGGTACTAGGTGAGTGCTCTACCACTGAGCCACCACCTCAGCTCCAACATGTTTAATAATAAGTTTCAATAGTCCAGGTAGGAGGTGGTGACAGCCTAGACTGAGGTGAGGGCAGTGGAAGAAGAGGGTAAAATTTTGACAATTTTAAAGCTAGAAATGACAGAATTTTCTGCCTGACTGTAGGTGGAAGGGAAAGAAGAGTAAAGGTCAACTATAAGGCTTTGGCTTGTCAGCTAAAAGGACAGAGCTAAGGAAAAGGAAGGAGGAGCAAGTTTAGCAGGGAGGCTGGGAGCTCAGGAATTTGAGGATCTATGGAATTTGAAAGAAGTCACTTAGACCTTTGGGTGGAGATGTTGAGCGGGCAACGCCATGTAGAAACTCAACTCTAGGCCAGAGATAGAAATTTAGGGGCTATCAGAATATTGATGGAGTTTATAGCCATTAGGCTAGACAAGAGCACCTAGGAGAGAGTGTAGATAGATAAGTCAAAGCCTTGGGAGACACCAAAGTTGACACATTGGGGCAATGAAGAGGCAAGAGCCAACAGGTAATGAGAAGGTTCTGGAAGCAGAGAAAGAAGTGCTTCAAAGAGGGAAGGATCACTTGCACCAAAGGCTGTGGCTGACACAAGAGGATATCGACTACTGGTCAACGCTTGGGTGACCCTAGTTAGCTTCATATCTAGAGGACAGTCCCTTTGTCCATCTGAGACAGAAAGATCCACTCCTGAGTTGAAGTCGGATAAATTAGGTCTCAGACTTGCCCAGACTTCCCAAGCCCAGATGAAACCAGAAAATAAATTTTGATTCAGTGGTCAGAATAGAGAGGGAGGGACGGTTCCTGAAATTGGCACAACCCTTGGCCATTCCACAATAATCCATTTCTCAGAGACAAAGAGGAACCTGGTAAAACAAGTTTCATTGGGAAAAATAGATCGTATGCAATTCAAAGTCGTCTAGCTTCAAGAGAGACTCCTTCCCTGCGCAGCCGCCTCCGTGGGGACGACGTTGTGGGTGACCTGGCTGGAGGCAACCACGATCCTCGGTCTTCAGCATGGTCCAACAGGATGGATAATTGGGCATCCACTTTCCTGGAGAAGGCGAAGTAGAGGCAGCTCAGGATCAGGTCTGGGACAGTGGATGGGGTTCTGGGAATGTAGATGGGGTGGGGGTCAGGTGCCCAGCCCCGGTCTCAGAGGACTCAGGGGTTCAGTGTCATGGATCCCAGTGACGGAGGGTTACCTCTTCTGCAGCCTCAGCTCTGCCCTCTGAGCTCTTAGCACCCGCAGCACCGGGTCGTCCTGGAACTCACTGCCATCTGAGTCTGGGTGGGTGGGTAAAGAGTGAGTTCCGGGGCGCAGGACTCCAAGGAGGCAGACGCCAGGATCCCAGAGGCCCCTGCAACGCGCTCACCTTCTGCAGCCTCCAGAAGTCGCACGGCCTGGGAGAGCAAGTCCTCTGCTGGGGGCTGAGGGTCCCCTGGTGGGGGCGTGGCCACGGCCTCAACAGGCCCCGCCTTGAACTCTGGCAGCGGAGCCTTGGGGAGTGTGGACGCCTCCTCAGTTGGAGGCGGTGGGGCCTTGGGCTGTGGACACTCGGCTTCAGCAGAGCAAGTGGCTTTAACTTTCTGAAGCACTGACCCCGCTGGAGCGGGCGTGGCCTTGGCTTTGCGACCCTGAGCCCTTGACCGACAGTGAGGGTCAGAGGGAGCGGGCGTGACCTCTGGGCAAGGGGGCGAAACCTTGGCTTGTGGGTGTGTGACTTCTACTTTTCGAGATTCAGTGGCCGCTGGAGGCGGGCCCTCAAGGCGAGGGGGTGTGTCTTCCAGGAAGTCAGGGAACAGCCGAGCTGTCACTACTTGACCCAAGGCGCCCCTGAGCTGCAGGTCAGGCCCCTCGCCAGAGTCTTCTGGATGCAGAGCTCTGGACCTCCGAGGTTTGGGGCCCAGCTTCTCTTGCTGGGCAGGGCTGCTTGGTTCAGGGGAGGGAGGGCCTGGGCCCTGGAGGGTAGTGGGGGGCGTGGGAGTGGAGGCCAGGGGAGCCAGGGTGGAGGCTGAGGGCACTGGGATGGAGGCTGAGGGTACCGGAGTGGGAACGGGGGTAGCTAGGGTAGAGGCCAAGGGAACCTGTGTGGAAGCCAGCAGCGTGGGAGGAACGGTCGCAACAGATACCCAGGGGCTGGACTGTGGAGCCCAGAAGAAGCCATAGGGGCTGGGGGCCCAGATGATGTGTGGAGAGGACCCTGGGGGAACAGGAGGCCTCTCCACATACAAGGCCTCGTGGGGACCAGGCTGGGCCACACTGCCTCCCACGGGGACACAGTTAGGCTGGGTCGTCACAGCAGGGGTAGGAGAGGGCTGTAGACAGATGGGAAGGGGGTGTGAGAGGGTGGGGAAGAGGGTAGAGGGTCCTACAACCCCCTGACTCCCCCTTCCTCCAACTCACCCGAGTGCCGAGGACTTGGGTCCGGGGCAGCACCCAGGTTCCATCCCCCTCACCTCCTCGGGCCTGTTCAAGCTTCCGCCGCTGCCGCCACTGGTACAAAATGTCATCCTCTGGCGGAAGGGGTTCTTGGGGGGAGGCCAGGGCTGGGGCTGGGGCTGGGGCTGGAGCAGGGGTAGGGGCCTGGGCTGGTACCGGGGCTGCTGTGAGGGAAACAGAGGAGAGGTAGGAGTCAGGTGATCAGCCACCAAACAATAGCCTGTGCAGACACTCTGTGCCAGAGGATTGTTCAGACAGGCTGTTCAGTAATGCCAGCTCCTCTCTGGGGTGGGAAGTGGGGAGGGGGCAAAGTCAGAGGAGAGAGCAATCTATCATTTTTTCAGTTCTTCAATCATCCAATGGATATTTACTGAGCTTTTACTACATGCCACGCATATGTGTTCTGGATATGGGAGTTACAGCACTGAACAGTTCCTTTGCCCTCACCCTGGTCCAGCCCCCCTCACCCCACCTGGTCTATCATAGTGACTGCCACGGGCTCCTGCCTGGGATCCCTGCTCTCCTGTCCTCCCAATCTGTGCCCGACTCACAGCCAGAGTCAGGTTGTGAATACCTGAGTGTCCAGGGCCTTCCTGGTTATCAACACTCCCCTGGCTGTACCTCCCTATTGGTCAAAGGCAAAGGCCACTGTGTGCTGGTGGTTCCCTCTGTCTGGACTGATCTTCCCTCATGTATCACATGCTTCATTCCCTCTCCTGCTCTGTGTCTTGTCCAGATGTTACCTTCTTGGTGAGACCTTCCCCGACTACCCTATTCAAAAGTGCAACATCCACCAGCCCTATTATTCCCTGTCCTCTGTCCTATTTCATTTTTCTCCTTTCACTTACCCCCTTCTAACATACTAAATGGTATTTCCTGGCTTAGTTATGGTTTGTCTCTCCTTCCACAATGCCAGTTATGCAAGCAGAGTGATTTTTGTCTGTCTTGTCCATTACCCTTGCCCTAGTGTGAAGATTAGAGCTCAGTGCAATCAATATTTGAGACACGATGCAAAAAGAACTGTTTATTGTGCCCTGTTCCAGTCCCCAACTCTGTACTGGGGAAATGGTAATGATTAAGGACAGGGCCAGGGGGATGGGGCTGGGGCTGGGGCTCAGTGGTAGAGCACTTGCCTGGCACCAAGTTCGATCCTCGGCACCACATAAAAATAAAATAAAGGTATTGTGTCCACCTACAACTACAGTAAATAAATAAATAAATAAAAAGGTTTGCCTGCCAGCAAGCTAATTATACCTTTAAAAAGGGGGGGGGGGGGGCTGGAGCTATTTTTGTTCCATTGGGCATACATTATTTCTACCACCCTGGGCATCATTTCATTTGTCCTATCAGTAGAGCTACCATGATCTCTCAGAAGCCCTACCATTTGATGCTGCACAGAGGGGAAGACCCCCATCACCCCTGCTACATCCTGCAATTCTGCTTTTAACCTGGACACTTCCCTCCACTCCGCTCTTCAGTTCTGGCCCAGTTCAAACCAGCAGTTCCTCTCACTGGATGTAGACAGAAGCCAGAAGAAGTCTGCTAACACCCAAGAAAGTTCATCCTCTCCATGCTCCGACCTCTCTTGAGGATCCCCAGTTTAAACATTACAACCAGATGCCTCCCCATGCCTCCACGGCCCAGCATTCGAGGTGCCCTGCCAATCTCTCCCTCCTATGCTAGTCTGATCCTGGCTCTTGCCTTTTCTGGTCTATTGTCTGCACCACGCTCCCTCTCACTTCAGTCAGTAGTATATGCTCGAAGGCTCTGTTCATCCCACCCTCCTCATCTAGGTTTCCACTTAGTTAGCACCTCTGGAAGCCCTCCCTGACTTCTAACTCCACAGTACTCTCCTGCCTATCCTTCATTTCTGCTTGTTTTACTTATATATGGGAGGGTTATGTGGTAAATCTCTGTCCCACATCCAGTATGCCACGAAGGCTTTGAAGGAGGGACCATGTATTCATGTTGTGAAATCCTCAATCCTATTCACAGGGCCTCAAACATGGTAGGATTCAATATGTAAATGGCTGAATAAATTTAACTGCAAAATAACTTATGAAGTAGGTACTAATTTTATCCCCATTTTACAAATGAGAAAACTGAGGCTCAGGAGGGAGAGATGAATAAAAGACAAAGCTTAGAAAGAGTGAAGAACTGGATAGGTGAGTCCTTGGGTAGGATCATGCAACATGCATGAACACCTCTATTAACTTCTGCTTGCTTGTACCCAATCAGGGGATCCCTATGAGACCGGGATAGCATTCTGAGCACAAAGTAACAGTAACAATCGGGACAGTAGTAATAGTAACCTAGGTCTATCATCCCATCTCTGAAATTGATCTGGAGTTCCAAAGTTTGCATACTTTAGCCAAATTGCATGGTATATACAGCATAGACATGGGTCTGAGGCAATACATCAGACTCAAACATATTGACACATAGTGGAACCAAGCCAGACACTGGTGCGTGACTTGGGGAGGCTGAGGCAGGAGGATTGAGTTTGAGGCCAGCCTTGGCAACTTAGTGAGGACCTACCTAGGTAACTTGTCAAGACACTGTCTCAAAATAAAAAAATAAAAAGGGTTGGGAATTTAACTCAGTGGGGTAAAGCATCCCTGGGTTAAATCCCTTGCACCCTTCCTCCCCCTAAAAAAAAAAGAAATATAGTGGAATCATACAAAATGACTAATATTCACCTTTTACTTATAAAAATGAAAATTCCATATGGTTCAATGTAATATTCATACACCAAGAATTATGTATAATATTAACCCTAAATGAGATCAATACAGACTACAAATAGCTTCATAGGTCAGATTCTGCTGTTAAATCATCTAGGTTTCCACTTAGATTTCCCCAGATTTTAGGCTGGGGGTGGATGGGCGCAATGTGGTACCGAATCTGCAAAAAGCCTTCTGATATTGGAGTTTGTGTTCAGAACTGCAGAAAGAATGTTAGGTCTCTCACACTCATGACAACTCCTGCTTTGTTTGTTGTTTTTGGTATTGGAGATGGAACTCAGGGGTGCTTTATATTGAGCTATATCCCCATCCCTTTTTAAAATTTTGAAACAGAGTCTCAACTAAGTTGCCCAGGCTGGCCTTGAACCTGTAATTCTCTTGTCTCAGTTTCCCAGGTTGCTGGGATTACAGGTGTGCGCCCCTGTACCCAGCTATGACAGCTCCTATTGACAGACTTGTGCTAAGTGAACTCATTTCATCCTCACCACACCTGGAGGAGAGAGATCGAACTGTTACTTCTGTTTCATAGTTGGGGAAACGAGGCCCAGAGAGGAGAAGGTCACACAGCTGGTAAGCAGCAGAGATGGGATTTGAACCCAGGCTGCCCTCAATCCTTGCCTCTCACCACTTACCAGGTGCTCTGGAGCCACAGCTCTTGCTGGCGTCAGGGGTGAAGGTCATGGAAAAGGGAGAGAGGCCATCTGAGCTGACTGGGAAGGAGGAACTGCTGGCATCACTGGGGCTGAGGGAGGAGGAGGAGGAGGAGGAGATGGAGGCCTTGCTGCAAGGGGAAGGCAGAAGTGAGGCACTGGATGTCTCCGAGGCAGTGCGCTGGGCTGTGGCTGGAGCAGTGGGAAGGGTGAGGAAGTAGGGGAAGCACCTGCGTTTGAGCAGCCTGGTAGCTCTGCTCTGCAGGCTTAGCGTCTCCAGGTCCAGCAGCGATGAGCTCCATGTGTTGAGCTTCTGTGGGATGAGAGGGGTCAGAGGCTACTCCCCACCGCAAAGGCTGCTGGGAAAAGGGCTCTGGACAGAGGGCCTCAAGTGCAGGTTTCTACTCCACCTGGTACCTCACGTGGCAGCTTACAATTTCCTCAGGGAATGGAGACCCAGTTTTCCTCTTGGATCCACACCCTTCATTTGCAAGTCACTACTGTTGAAGGATTGAACCAACTTTCCTGAGGGAACCCAACTAAATAAAGCATTCTATCCTCTGGTTCACAGCGATTGACTTAGGATGGGTGAATAAGAGTGAGTCCTGGGGTTTGGGATGGAGCCAATGGAAAAGCTCCACTCTCCATTAAAGTCGCTGAGTTAGTACTCAAAAGCCTAAGCTGCTGGGGGCCATGTTGGCTACTGTGAGGGGAAAGCCTGCCTGAGACAGAACCCAGCAGAGGAACACAGAACCAAGAAAAGCTGAGTTCCTCCCAATATTGTCCAAAACACCTTGATCTGGCCACACCTGAAAGCATCTACTTTTGGAGCTTGCAATTACACTTAGCAAAATAAAATTTAAAAAAAAATCCTCTTTTTAAGGTTTAAGCTTCCTTGAATTGGGAATGGCTTTAATTCTATCTCAGGACTGGTGCTGATAGTTGAGGCACACAGAAGAGGGAGTGAATGAGGAGGTCACCTGCTTTATTTCCTGAAGTGGAGCCTCAGCCTGGGATGCGCTGGCCACCTTGGGAACGAGAATTGCTGTTTTGAGTTTTCCTTTCCGTTCACGGGCTCCTGCTGAGAAACCTCAACTGAGTGAAGGGGCCAGAAGGAGTGGTTGCTGGGGTCATTGATCAGGAAGGATTTTAGGCTCGGGGTGGATGGGCGCAAGGAGATACCTGCTGCATACTGACTGCTGAGATCTGGAGATTCTGGCCGAAGCCACCAAAAGTCATCTGGGGTTGGACCTACAGGCTGGCGTTCCTCTCGACTTGTGGGCTGAGCTTGGCGGAACCTGTTTATATACCTGCAAGCATTAGAGGATGGGAGGTAGGGGACATGAGGAGAGCTAAACAACAGGTGAAATCTCCAGTACCACAATATTAAAAATTAAAAAATAACTTCTTTCAGAGGCACCACAATGCCAGACCTTAAATTATACGACCGAGCTATAGTACAAAACAGCATGGTATTGGCACCAAAAACAGACATGAAGGCCAATGGTACAGAATAGCAGCCACAGAGAAACACCCACAAAAATACAGTTATCTCACACTGGAAAGGCACCATAAACACACACTGGAGAAAAGTTAGCCTCTTCAACAAATGGTGCTGGGAAAACTGGAAATCCATATGTAACAAAATGAAATTAGAACCCTCTCACCCTACACAAAATTCAAAGTGGATCAAGGACTTAGGCAATGTGCCTAATAGAAGAAAAAGTAGGCCAAAATCTTCATCATGTCAACTTAGGAACCGTATTCCTCAACAAGACTCCTAAAGCCCAAGAAATAAAATCAATTATCAATAAATGGGATGGTATCAAACTTCTTCACAGCAAGGGACACAATCAAGAATATGAAAACAGAGCCTACAGAATGGGAGAAAATCTTTGCCACCTGCATCTCAGACAGACCATTAATCTCCAGTATGTATAAAGGACTCAAAAAAAAAAAAAAAAAAAACCACCAAAAAAACTAAACAACCCAATCAATAATAAGGAACTGAACAGACACTTCATAGAAGAAGAAATACGATCAATCAACAAATGTCTGAAAAAATGTTCAACATCCCTAGCAATTAGAGAAATGCAAATTAAAACTACATTGAGATTTCATCTCACTCAAGTCAGAATGGCAATTATCAAGATCACAAGTAATAATAAATGTTGGGGAGAATGTGGAGGAAAAGGCACACTCATACACTGCTGGTGGGACTTCAAATTGGTGCAACCACTATGAGAGTAGTATGGAGATTCCTCAGAAAACTTGGAATGGAACCACCATTTGACCCAGCTATCCCATACCTCAGTTTGTACTCAAAGGACTTAAAATCAGCATACTACAGCAACACAAACACATCAATGTTATAGCAGCTCAATTCACAATAACTAAACTATGAAACCTAAGTGTCCTTCAACAGATGAATGGATAAAGAAAATGTGGTACATATATACAATGGAATATTACTCAGTCACAAAGAAGAATAAAATTATGGTATCTGCTGGTAAATGGATGGAATTGGAGACTATCCCAATAAATGAAATAAGCCAATATCAAAAAATCAAAAGCGGGATGTTCTCTCTGATATGAGGATGCTGACTCACAATAGGGGTGTGTGTTTGTGTGTGTATAGGTTCACCAGATTAGACAGAGGTGAGTGAGAAGAAGGGAGAGGGGATGGAAACTGGAAAGAGTAGAATGAATCAGACATAACTTTCCCATGTTCCTATATGAATACACAACCAGAGTAACTCCACATCATGTACAATCACAGAATGGGAAGTTAGACTCCCATGTATGTATGATATGTCAAAATACATTCTACTGTCATGTATAACTAGAAAGAACACATAGAAAAAGGAAAAGAAAAAAATCTGATTAAGCTATGTTCATTCTAAAATCAAGTGGTAGCTGCTAGGCATGCGGCAATGCTTATAATCCTAGTGACTTGGGAGGTTGAGGCAGGAGAATTGCAAGTTTGAGGCTAGACTCAGCAATTTAGTGAGACCCTGTCTCAAAATAAAAATAAGAATAAAAATAAAAAGGGCTGGAGATGTAACTCAGTGGTACAATGCCTCTGGGTTCAATCCCCAGCATAAAAACAAAAACCAAACCTGCTTTTTGCTAGGCACGGTGGCGGCACACACCTTAATCTCAGATATTTGGGAGGATCTGGCAAGAGGATCCCAAGTTTGAGGCCACCCTGTCTCAAAATAAAATAAAGAAGGGATGGGCATGTATCTCAGTGACAGAGAACTTGCCTTGTATGCATGACACCTGGATTCAACCTCCAGTACCAGACATAACTTTCATAACTTACACTATAGGCAAGTAGTTGTCTTTCAATAATTGTTCTCCTTTCTTATGTGTTAATTTTATTTTATCTATTTATTTGGCAGTGCTGGGAATCAAACCCAGGGTCTCCTGCATGCCGGGAAAGAGCTCTACCACTGAGTTACAATACGCTGGGCCCAGTCATGCAATTTTTTGTTGGATACGGAGTCACTTCTTCTAAGGACTACATTTGCCATGTGACTTGTGATCACATGAATAGATGCTTGACAAACATGAAATGAAGAGATTCAATTCTAGAAAGTCGATTCAGTTGGGAGCCATTTTGGTCCATGAAGGAAAGAACACAGTCCAGGGATGGAACAGCAGTAAGACAGAAGGACCCGTATCTCTGACACCTCCACCCTGTTGCTTCTGCCTGGACCATTAGATGAGGGAGAAATAAATGCAAAGTTGTTCAAGCCATAATTAATTTAGACTCTTTATTATAGCAGCTGATCCTTAACCTACAAATTCAAGTGTTCATTTGATACAGTAACTCACTGAAAGCTCAAAATAGCCCTAGGGGTATGTGCTATTAATATCCCCAATTTAAAGATTAAAAAAAAAAACTGAGGCCAAGATCATACAGAGAGTAAGTGATAGATCTGGGACTTGAACCCACACAGCTGAACTTCAGAGCCCTCCATAACACACATGAAGCACCTGGCCCTATAAGAGCACTGTATAAACAGTCTGCCTGCGATGATTATTACCTTCTCCCTCCCCTGACCCAAACTCTCCTTTCCCTTCAGGGTTTCTGGTACTTACTTGGCCATCACTGAGTCCCCACTGTCAATCAGGGTAGGCGGTGGAGAGGCCTTCTCAGTGGTGCTGGATGGGGAAGAGGTCCCTGAACTGGATGGCCAGGACTCTTCAAACAGTTCAGGGGAGTTGGCTGCAGCCTTGGGAGCTCGTGGGAGCTTGGATCTCTGGGGCCTGGATGGGCTCAGAGTCTAAGATAGGGGAGGACACACAAAGAAAAAAGTGAGGTCTGAAGGGTCCTTCCTGTAGGGAACAAAGAAACAGTGAAGTCTCAGTTCAGAGGGGAGGAAGCATATCCCACAATGTTATCACTGTTAGCAACCTCAGGTGATTGGGGGAACGATGGGGGATATAAGCAGTAGAGAGCTGTACAAGGGAAGGTTATGGGGAGGTAAGGAGGGTCTTTCTCCTAATGTCTCATCCCCATCTCTCAATATAAGCCTTCCTTCCCTCCCTACTAGAGGTACTACTCTCTGTGGGCAGTCCTCACCTTGGATTGCCAGGTCTGGCTTTGGGATGGCCAATCGTGGCCTCCACCCAGGGAAGCATCTCCAAAGGGGCTTTCTTGGATGGAGAAAACTGACAGGCTGCAAGGAAAGAATGGGATTGGAAGGCAGAGCATGGAAGAGGAAGGCAGAAGAGACAATTCTCATGGATTCCTGGAAGAGATGGACTATAATTCCCATGAAGCACTGATGCACTTTTAAGATAATGATAGTGGAGCCACGAGTCCCATGAGCCCTTGGAGAGCCACAGAAAAACCTAGGAACCAGAAGTTGGTGGTTCTCAACTCTGGATCCACTTTTTTGGTGGGGGTGGGAGGGTGGGGTGGGGGCGTGTTTACAATTACAAACAAGCCGTTCCTACTCCAGACGGACAGAATCAGAATATCAGGAAGTGGGTCTAGGCATCCCTATCTTTTTCCCATTGTCCCAGGTGAATTTTTTAAAAACTGTAGCCCAAAGGCAAAATGTGGTCTGCGGCCTGTTTTAATTTTTTTTGACACACACTAATTGTACACATTATGAAGTATAGTGTGATAATTCAACACAAGTAGACAATGTATAATGATCGTATCAGGATAATTATAATTTCTATCTCCCAAACATTTCCTAGGTGATTTTTAAGAGGGGCTCAGGTTAAGAACCGTGATTAGGCTGGGACTGGTGGTGCTTACAGGCAGGAGGACCGCAAGTTCCAGTCCAGCCTCTGCAACTTAGCAAAACCCTGTCTCCAAAAAAAAAAAAAAAAAGACTGGGTACTGTAACTCAGGTGGTCAAAACACCTGAGTTCTCCCCGCCCAACCACCCCATACCTGGTAAAGAAAACACAAACAAAAGACGAACAACAACAAAAAAACCCGGGACTAGACCGTACCCTGTACATTTCCCATAAACCCTTGGGGGACACTAGGAAATGGACTACAATTCCCATGATTCACTAGGCTCCGCCTAACCAAGAAAGTTCAAACACAACACCCTTGGGTGTCTAGGGCAATTTCAAAATTTAAAAACTCAATTTCCATGTCTTCTTAGAAGACCTTAAGGGAAAGAATCCTTTACAGGTACTCAGAGAAAAGAACATAAGGCATTTAGGGATACCGGAGACTGTGAAGTCCAAGGCGGGGGGCAGCCAAAGGCTGTGGAGCATCTTGGAAGTCGTAGTTTTAATGCAGTTGAACCCGACACTCTGGACTCCAGCATAAACTGGTGCTACCCTCACCCTCGGCCCTTCCCAAACCTCTTGTGATCTCGGGAAGAGTAATCGGCCTCACCCACGGTCCATCCTGCAGCTACTCTGGGGCGCTTGTGCCAGCTCCGCTTCTTCACCCGACAAACCCAGTGCGCATCTTGTCGCTTAGCAATGCTCCATCAGCCCCGCCCCTCTTTGGGAGTGCCCGCTCCGGAAGAGAGCGGCCTCCAAGGAGACCAATGAGAGACAGGAAAATAAAAGTTGGAAAGGGGCTAATGGGAGGTGTTTCACTGACTGTCTATAACGCTGGCATGCTTGAGAGAGCGCGTTTGATTGGAGAACCTGGAGCGTACATCAATAATTGGCAAGACTGTGGACCAATGGGAAGGGCTTGGAGTTGGAGGCGTTCTAAAGGATTCTTATTTTCCTGCAGTCCTGCTGTCACGCCGCCCCTTCTTGTGGAAGCCGAAAGTTCTTTCCCGCCCGAGTCCAATGTGTTCTACCCGTTGAAAGGGTAATCGGGTACTCCTTCTCCTTTCTAACCTCCATCAGGCCAGTCAGACCGCCCTGATGGTCATCCAACAATTTCCCTCTTGCTGCAGAGCAGCTGTTGCACCTCTTGCCAGGCCCGGGCTCCTGGCCCAGGTAGCGGGATCAAAATGAGCTATTTCGGGCCCCAGCGCGAGGCCCCTGGGGGGCCAGACTGGAGAGTTAGTGCTCACGCCCCCGGGCCTCTGTGTACCCGAAGCTGAGTCAGAGGCACCGAATTAGGCCCAGCCTGCTGGGGGGGCTGGGCCCAAGGCAGGGCTGAAGATGGGGGTAGGGTCTGTTTTGTGTCCTTCTGACAGCCTGGCCCGGCTACTGCATTCTCCAGCAATCTGCTCCTAAGACCTCCATCTGCGTCATCCTCAGAGCTGCCAGCTGGGTGGTGGTGGGTTAAGAGAACTGAGAACTCTTCGGTGGACTTTTCGTCTCTCGGTCCCAACTGCTACTTTGTGTTCTCCATACTCTTCAAGGCTCCGCCCTCTTAGCCTTAGTTTCCCTTTCAAGATATTGAAGAATCTTAATGACATTTTCCTGGCGTCCTTTCCAAGCATCCAGCAGGCGCTTAATAAATAGCCAAGTCATTATTGGGGTTTCTAAATAAGGCTCTTAATGGCCGAATCTGGCCACGGTCCCAGTGTCCCCGAGAGGCCCGCGCAGGGGCCGGCACAAGACGCACTATAAATCAGCGCCTGTGCATGCAGGGGCACTGCGGGATCCAGGGCGGCGGTGGAAGAACAGGATGGAAATCCCGGTGCCTGTGCAGCCTTCTTGGCTACGTCGCGCTTCGGCCCCCTTGCCGGGAATTTCCACTCCCGGACGCCTCTTTGACCAGCGTTTCGGCGAGGGGCTGCTGGAGGCGGAGCTGGCTGCGCTCTGTCCTGCTGCATTCGCCCCTTACTACCTGCGCGCCCCCAGCGTGGCGCTGCCCACCGCCCAGGTGCCAGGCACGGGGGAGGGGGCAACTCGACTACTTTCAAAGCCAGAGGTCTGGGTCACCCCAAGGGGGTGCTGGGATGACTTTGAGCGTAGTGGAGAGTGCGACCACCCAGGGTTTCTGGAGTTCCCTCAGTTTGGATTGCTGAAGAGAGTTCGAGGTCCCCATTACTCAGAAGGGGCGGGGTGGGGGGATTGACTCGTAGTTCTAAGGGGAGTGGAAGGGCTGGGTCGCTGGGAGGGGAGTCTTGGCTCTGAAGGATGCCGGTGACCCAGGGAATCTGGGGGAAAGGTCAGGTGGTGATTCTTGAATGGTTGCAGTGTTGTTGTTAGTCTTGTTGTTAATTTGGAGGTTGTGTGTGCTTCCCCGGATGTCTCCTGGAGAGGTAAAGGAGAGAAAGGATCCTGTGATTTGATGAAGGGCATCTTGGCCACCCTGAAGCAGGGGAAGGGTACCAGAAACTGCTGAGAGCGCAGGAGGTTAGGTGACCCGAGTTGGAGGGTTTAGAAGGACTCTGGAAACTTGTGGTTAGAGGCATCTTGACAATTTCTGGCGGGGGTGGGGAGTTAGGACTGCTGGGGCGGGGCAGAGTGACTATGGAGTTTTACACTGGGGGAAGGGACAGGCTTTCTCGCCCTAGGATGGCTTTGGACCTGACCTTGCAGGGGAAGGGAACCTTATCACTCTCTGTGTGAGGGGAATCCAGTGATTAGAGGGGATGGGAGGATACCCGTTATAGTGGGTTATGAGGTCCTCACTGACTCTCATTAGGGAACTGGACTCCCCAGAGTCAGCAGTAGTTATGGAGCCGACAGGGGTGGGGCCTCGCCGGGTCTGGGGATCCCGGCCCCTTCTGATGACAGTCCCGCCCGGCCCCGCGCCCGCTGTTCGCAGGTGCCGACAGACCCCGGTCATTTCTCGGTGCTGCTGGATGTGAAGCACTTCTCGCCGGAGGAAATTGCTGTCAAGGTGGTAGGCGAACACGTGGAGGTGCATGCGCGCCACGAAGAGCGCCCGGTGAGCGCCGGCGTGTTGGAGCGGAAGACGTGCGCAGGCGCGAGGGGTGGGGCGCCTGCGGGAAGGGGCGGGCCAGCTGAAGCCTCTCTGCCCTCTAGGACGAGCACGGATTCATCGCTCGCGAGTTCCACCGTCGCTACCGCTTGCCACCGGGCGTGGATCCTGCCGCCGTGACCTCGGCTCTGTCCCCTGAGGGCGTCCTCTCCATCCAGGCTGCACCTGCGTCGTCCCAGGCCCCTCTGCCGCCACCGCCTGCCGCCAAATAGAGGTCCAGGCACGCTTGAACCCCGTGGTTGCGAGGGGTGCCGCTTTAGGCTCCTTTTCTTAAAGCCGATCTGACTCCGCCCAGCCAGAAGTCCCAGCGCCAAGACAGTCCCTCCATCCAAATCAAGATTCCGTCCTGACCTTCACCCTAGACCCAACCTTAATAGCCTAGACCCTTCCAATGACACCCCCGTCCAGCTTTTAGATCCCAGCCTAGATTCCATTAGCAATGACTCCACTTTCTTGTCTTATATCCCCTCAAGATTCCCTCCTGTACTTCCCTCTAACTGCTGAAAAAAATTTTATCCACATACACACACTCTGACACCGGATTATGATGTTTGTAGCCCTGCTTGGTCAGGCATAACCCCTCCCTAAACGGCCCACACTGCAAACCTCCCACTCCAGTCTAGGGCTATGCCCCAATACTCTGGATCTTTTCCTAAAAGCAGACACTCCACTGTCCACACCCCATTTTTTGACTTGATACCTCATCCAGCCACCCAGACTCTTGAGCTCTTTTCTGATTCCCAACCTTTGGGACACCTATCCCAGGCCAACTAGGACCTGCAAACTCAAAACTGTATAGGTTGCCCCCCAACCTCCCTAGACAAAAGATGTGTCGGGCCCCCTCCTCAGTTAACTAGAACTCTCCAGTCCCTTTGTCTTGACCTCCAATCCACCCTCCACACCTCATCCTCCAGGACCCAACCAAGTGGCCACTCTTTCATTCCCTCACCAAATGACCCGTCACCCCATGCCCCCATTCTTTCCTAGGCTCACTCCCCAATAAATGTGCTACAGCACTGTTAACTGCTTTGTTTGGGCTGGGAAGAAAGGGCTGGAACACAGTCTAGTGTACGGTTGGGGGATATTTATTGGAGGAGCGGGGAATGTCACTGTCGATCGTACATCTCCCGTAGGATCTTCATGCTTTCTGAATAACGAAGCTGATTCCGATGGGATGCCTCCTTCCACCTGGTGAGGTAGAGTGAGGATTCAGTAAATGGAAAAAGAGGTCATGGGGGGAAGCCAGCTGGGGGAACCTCACCTCTGGCGGATGCGTTTCCAGCGCTGCATGTTACGATAGATGAGTGTGGAGGGTGAAGGTTCAGGCTCAGAGGGCTGTGTGGATAGAGATCAGGTGTACATCCTGGAGCCCCACAACAAGACCCACAGCCTCAGGCCAGCCTCCTATACCCACCTCATCATCGGTCGTGCCCTGGGTCTCAGGCTGCAGTGGGGATGGAATGCGTGATCTGCAGGCATCTCCAGGTGGCCCAGGGGCTGTAGGTGGAGGCAGCTTGTACACATCACGACTTTTGCTGTTGGCGACCTCTGAACCCTAGAGATACAATACCCCATACCAGGCCCAAGAGAATCAGAGCAAAGGGCTGGGAGTACCCGTTTTATCCTTCTTGCCTCTCCCAGACAATAGACTTAAGGGGCTCACTGGGAAATCTATACTTGGAGGACTCATATCTGAAGGACAGATACCTTAAACAGCCTGGAAGTCAGCTCTGTCTGCTCCAGGGATACCTGTCTTCTCCTGTCAGCTTAAGAACCCTTGTCTACCCTTGACCAGCCTAGGAAACCCCATCTATACCTGTCATCCTGGGGTGGGAGGTCACATCTGTGTCACCTAGGAACCCTCTTCCACTATTACTGGTGGTCAGGTAGTCATCATTTCTGCTCTGATCTTTTTTTTTTTTTTTTTTTGTACTGGGGAGTGAATCCAGGGGTGCTCAACCACTGAGCCACACCCCAGCCTTTTTTTTTTTTTTTTTGGTATTTTATTTAGAGACAGGGTCTCACTGAGTTACTTAGGGCCTCTCTAAGTTGCTGACGCTGGCTTTGAACTCGCAATCCTCCTGCCTCAGCCTCCTGAGTCGTTGGGATTACAGGCATGTGCCACCATGCCCTGCTCTGCTTGCATCTTAATAGTTCAAAGGGTCATATGTATGTCCTGGGGACCCCTGTCTACCCTCTCAGGCCAGATGATTAATGGATCCCCATCTATCCCTCCATAGCCCAGAGGGTCCATGCTATACCTAGTAGCCTCACCTATCTGTACTAAGGATCCATGTTCAGCCCTTTAGCCCTTGGGAACCCAATAATGGAGGTCATGTCTCGGCCCGAGGGAGCCCTGTTGCCTCTCCCCTAAGGCCACATTGCCATGTCTGTCTGCCTCAGGAGACCTCTGTCCATACCCCTAGCCTGAGGATGTACATCTGTGTGCCTCACCTGGTCCAACATTCATTTGGGAGACTTAGGGACCTATACTTGGCAACCACTAGTTTAAGGGGAGGGTCCCTTGAGCCTGTCTACCCACTGCCCTCCCTGGCTGCTGGGCTGGGGCCCACCACCCATCCCACCTCCTCATCTTCGGGCAGTGGGGGCAGTGGTGAGCTGGGTGAGTGTTCACGCTCGCGCACTGAGGGGCTGTTGCGCATCCAGGCTCGGCAGATTGGGTACAACGGTGTATTCTCACTGAACTGGGCCAAGTCCACACTCCGGTCAAACAGCTTGATCACATATGTGTCTGGGGTGGTGGGGGTGGGAGGTAAGTGAGCATCCTTATGTAGCCCCTGGCTCCCTGCCCACCCACCCTCTAGGGGTTGCCTACTCACTGGATCGCTGAGGCCCTCCCTCAGCTAGCCCATCATCCATCTCCCTCCTCTTCTTCCTCCGCTGGTGGGGGAAGCGGGCAGATGGCCTGTGTGAGGAAGGGAAGTGTCAAGACAGGGGTGAGGGCTGGAAACCACATCCACTGGCTGGGGCCCCTGCCACCTTACCTTTTGCCAGTGGCTGCGATGGAGCAATCTCTGTGGGGAAAGACAGGGCATTAGCAGGCTGACCTTCAAACAAATGCCTGCTCCAAACCCCCTGAAAGGGCACCCTGGGACCCCTTGAGTCTTATGTCCCCCTCATACACTGGGGTTCTAGATGCCAACCATGAGGGGACCTAAACTGCTTCTATCACAGTTTTTGTGTATGTACTGTGGTTAGGAGTGTATCAGAGAAAGCGCAGGCAGAGTGGCCAGGGAATAGATGAGGAAAGGAGTTACCCACCACATTCTCGGATCCAGATCCTATAAAACAGCTTACTTGTTGTGGGTGTCTGAGGGGGTTTTCCCGGCTTCCTCGTCCAGACGCTCCCTAGTAGCAGAAGAGAACTATTGGCTCAGGGTTCCTAGGGCCTGGTGTGTGTGTGACTGCATCAAGTGGCTTCCCCATGAGACACCTTTCTCCCAAAATTAGCCTCTGGGGTCCCCACCCAGATCCACCCAGGATCAGGAGTTTCAATTTGCCAGAGCTCCAGCCCCATGATCCCACCCTGGACCAGGTTCCAACCTGTCCAAGTGACTCTTCTCCAGCAGACACTGCAGAACAGCATCCAGTTGGTTCCGGGCTTTGGCCATCTCCAACTCTGGGGGCAAAGGGTACCAAGCAGGAGTCAGCTCTCTATGTATATCTCCACCAGGGCCAATCCTATTGCCTGGTCCAGGCATGCTAAAAGGGTACAGCCAGCAGAGACTGAGAGATACAGGGATTTCCAACATCCCTTAGAGGAAAGACAGTTTGAAGATGGGGGTTGGGGCAGCTGAGACTGTAGCAAAGAGCCTTGCATCATGTTCACATCTCTGTCCCAGTCTTGGCTTCTCTCCTGAACCCCAACTTGTAGATCCTACAACTTAGACACCTCCCCTTGGACATCCCCTGTGCTCTTTTTGTGCACCGGGCCCTACACTGGCCTCGGTGTCTCTCTCAACTTACCCCTCTTCCTGGATCCCACCATGAAGGGTGACCCCACTGTCTCCCAGTCCCTTCATTAGTCTCACCATGGACGCCTGTCCCTCCCCCATCTCAGCCCTCTAACCCCATGGCTTGACCACTTGGCCTCCTGAGTGTCTTCCCTCTTTCACCCGTTCTATCCTGCCCATCCTGGTCCTGTCTTCTCTTTTCCTTGGGATCCTAACCTCAGTATCTCAAGGTAGCCAGGGGAACTTCCAAAATCAAAATCAAAAACAAGACCCTGATTTTCCCCAGCTTAGAATCCTCCAGGACTCCACAGCACCCCCCAGAGGGTGAAGTCTTCATTCAATCTGGAGTTCACAGGTCTATCTCTAGCCCCTACCATCATTTGTGTTCAGACCCCTAAGGGGTCTGAATATTTTTTGGCATTGGGAAGGTCCTTTATTAAGCCACTTGAGTTCAAAACCCTCCCTTGGATCCTTATTTCTCTCAAAGCAAAAGCCTAAGTCCTCACCTGGGCCCACAAGATCTGTCAACTCTGATCACCTCTTTGCTTCAACCTCCTCTCTACCTCACTCTGCTTCAGCCTCCTTGGCCTCCCTGCTGTCCCCCCAACTCACCAGGTAAGGCTTCTATTTCTGGGCCTTTTTCGGGCCTTCTTCAAAACTACTTCCTTTGTTTGGCAGTTCCCTCTAATATCATTTTCATAGCATTCTGCTGTACCTTGCCTCACTCCCACTCCTGATCTCCTTAACTTCTCTCTTTAAGATTTAAAAGGCAAAGTCTTGCTATATTGCCCAGGCAGGCCCTGAACTCCAAGGCTCAAGTGTTCTCTTATCCTCCACAGGATAAGAACTACACCACCAAACTCAGCTTCTGTCTTCTATATTTAATAATATTCATCGGATGTCATTCGACTATTATATTTTTGTTTGAATTCTTTGCCTCCCCACTGGTTTTTACCAGGCCAGTCTTGGATACCCATCAGCTCTGCCCCAACCCAAAATGACTTCTTCTGTCTGAGCTTGTTTCCCTATCCAATGCACTTCCTTATTCCTAGGATTATTGGAATATAGTGACTTGAGGGTTAAGAGTCCTTATTTTTCAAATTCACAGCACAACGCCTGACACATGATCACTGCTGGGATCGGAGAAACTGAGGTGGGGGCAAGAAAAGGGCCCTTCTCAGTTACAGCATGAAAATCTCCTTCTCTTACCAAACCACGCTGTCTGAACCACCACCATTCAATCTCAAAGCTACTGTCAGCACAGACGGGGATGGAATGATCGATGCCTGATATTGCGATTGTCAGATGGGCTGCAAGCAGAAGCCACCTAGCCCGCCTTTTCGCGATACTCCTGCCTATCAGACCTCCAATACCCTGAATAGCACAGTGCTCCCTTTCAGGCCCCCGATCTCCGGGTTCTCACCTGATTTCTCCACTTTCACCTTCACCGGGAACATGGTTTGGCTTCGGAGTCTGGCTAGCTGGGTCACAAAAAACCCAAAAGTGCCTAGTGTCACAAATCAAGGCAAGAGGCGAGCGGGGAGAGGTCAAAGGTAAGCTCCGTGTACGGAAGGCCCTCCAGCTTGAGCAGTGTCCAGCCGCGACTGCAGCAGTGGCCGCCGCCTCCCTTCTTCCCCTTCTGTGGGTGGGCCCCTTCCACAGTCTCTTGTTCCCATTAGTCAGCCAAGTCGTCAATTTCGTTCGCTGGCCAATTGACAGCTGCCCCCCCACGGCTCCCAGCCTTAGGTCCCACCTTTTGGGCTGCCGCTTCCGGAAATAAACCAACGACAACCCGGGGTGCTTCCTGGGAGGTGTAGTCCTAGCTCCCGAGACTCAATCTGTAACGCCGCCCTTGCCTCGCGGGGCGCGGTGGGAAACAAAAGCTCCGGCATCGCAAGGCTTTTGGGGAGTTGTAGTGTTAGGTTTGGGGAACACCTATTTACCTATTTACAGGGTTTAACTAACCGTAGGAGTCCCTCTGGTTCCTAAAAGGAAGACTAGTCTTAAATTAGAGTGGCCTCCTCTTACGGAGCACTAGTTAGATGCCCAGCTACATGTTAGTTTCAGGTACAATCTCATTCATTTAGCAAATAATTAGGCACTGGGGAAATTGCAGTGAACAAAAATCCTTGCCCTAATGGAGCTTATCTTTTGGAGGATGGAAGATAGGCAATAAACAGGTAACATATTCCAAATGTATGATGATAGGAGAAAGAATATAGCTTGAAATGGTAACAGGGAGCAAGAAAGGAATTAAGTTTTAAATAGGAAGCTCAAGGAAGGCTTCTCTAAGAAAGTTCTTGAACACTTCTGTTGCTGCAGACAACACTTCCTTCAGAGAATGAAAAATTTCCACTTAGCACATGTCTTGGCCTAGATAAACTCCTAGGAGGTAGCATCCTGATTTGTATTCTAATGAGAATATTGGGGCCCAGAGTAGGAAATTCATATTTTTGTTTAGTTTTGTGATGCCAAGAATCAAACCCAGGTCCTCATGCACTCTAGGCTTATGCTCTACCACTGGGCCACATCCTCTGCCCAGAAAGTCATGTTTTTGAATTCACAACCACCATTACAGGATAGCACCCTTTAGAAAATGGACATGTTATTTGTTTCTTGGCTCCTCATCTGTAAAATAGGGTTCATGAATAGGAAAGTTACTATTCCAGAGGGTTATTAGTTTTCAGTGTGTGTGTGGGGGGGGGAATGCATATAATGTGTGAAGCACTAAACCTGGTACAAAGTAAGCACTCACTAAATGTTTTTGAATGTTAATGATCATTTTATGCTTCAACGTCCAAAGATCTCAGGAAGTCAATATCAAAAGTTAGGGTTATTTATTGGGGATGTCAACAGAGATGACAGGTGATGGGCACATGTCTTTGGGGCTTAAAAGTGAACTTAAAGCAGAGGAGCCCATTCAGGGAGAAATCAGGTCCCCAGTCTGTGGAGAAGTTGTCAGGGAGTGCCCAAGGGTATAGTAAAGGAGAGGTAGTCTCCAAGGGCACCCCAGCGGGGCCGGTAGATCTGGAAGATGGTGATCCAGGTGGTGAGCACAATCACCCAGAAGAGGAAGCCCACAGCTGAGCGCCAGACATCTATAATGGGGAACAGGAATGAGGAGGGTTGGCCTCCAGATGCTCTTTGGACTCACCCTGACCATCCCTCTCTTCTCTTTCACAGATCCCCGAATTCTGGAGCATCCACCCCCACCCCCCACTTCCCCTTTCTTCTGGTGCCCTAGACTTACAGCCTTTGATTTGGCTCTGTTCTGTGTAGGCTGGGGCGAGGAACGCCTCTCGGAAAAACCAGAAGATGTTGACCAACCACAGAAAAGGCAGAAACGCGAACCCACCTAGGAAGATAATCCACACTGGGTTATAAAGCAAGAAGGATCTCTACCAAAGCCCACACAGAAGATCTAGTTCAACAGGAGATCGCTGCTGTCAGGGGCTCAGGGATCCTGGCTCCTCCCTGGGATCCAGGAATCTGATTCTTCAACTTCTTATAGGATGAGGTCTCAACTTCCTCCTTCCTCAGGACCCTGGTGCTCCCTTCCCTCAGATCCAGGAGTCGGAGTTTCCAGCTGCTTTACCCCTAGGGACCCACGAATCCAAGCCCCTAGGCCCTCTATCCCTCAAGCGCTCTAATTCAGTCCCCTCTTTTCTCCCGAGACCCTCGGGGATTGGCCCTTACCCAAGTAGTACTTCCGGCACAGGTTCAACTTCTCCTCATTGGACACCCGCTCCAAGTTCATATTTGCGCTAGACCCGGGTCTTCTTAAGGGTCTGCGGGGCAAGACCCAAGTAACAGATGCAGAGATCACGAACAGCCACGCCCCTATTACGACAAATCAGAGACAAATGCAGAGGTGGGTTTGATGAAAGAAGGGCACACAGCTCCCATTAGCAAGCAGGATGAGTGAAAGAAGCTCTTTATATTTATTGGGGTTCGCGAAGCGACTCAAAACTCACCAGTGGAGTTTATTTCCTTTACCTTGGATGCCTTTGGTATTTTCAACTACGGACGTTTGCGAGAGGTGCCGCAGGTTTCGCTGGAGTTTGTAGTTCTTTCTTTTTGGAGAGGCAACGCTGTACGCATGCGCATTCAGGAACCTCCCAGCGGTGTTTGTGGGAGGGGGACGCGGACCTCCAATGCGCAAGCGCACTAGGGAGTTTGTGAGAGCGTGATAAGCGTGCGGAGGCAGAGACGAACTACACTTCCCAACGCTCCTAAGTAACGGAAGTGATGTAAGGATTGGGCAAGCTAGAGGGTTCGAGTGAAAATGGCTGAATATTTAGCTTCGATATTCGGGACTGAGAAGGACAAGTGAGAACAGGCGCAGGGAGTGTCCTCTCGAGAATTGGGGGCTAGGGCTTTGGTCGTTGGTAGCCGGACGGTTGGGAACGGTGTTTCTGGGGTGTCCGACCTTCCCGGCCCTTAATTCACTACTGTCTTTGCACCTCTTCCAGGGTTAACTGCTCTTTTTACTTTAAGATCGGGGCCTGCCGGCACGGGACCGACGCTCCCGGCTTCACAATAAACCGACTTTCAGCCAGATGAGTCCGGACTCAGATCCCCGCTGGCTACCACTTTCAGGCTCTTCCCCTTGTGCTGTCCATCATCACTAGGTCCCACGTTTTCCGTATTTCTAAGGTCCAGCCTACCGCCCGGCTGTTTTCTGGTAGGCCCTCTCTGCAGGTTCCTCCCCTTAGCTTTCAACGCCCGCTCCCTGAGACTTGGCCACACACCGCCCCCCCCCCATGACAGACTGTGCCCCTCTATTGTCTCTAGGTCCTCCCCCACCTCTTTCTAAGGGGCAAGCACCGCAGATGCACTGACGATGCTTAGAGTTCTTCTCTGGTGCAGGGTTCCACTCCCAAACTTGGGTACTTCCCTCTCTGCATGAAGCCCTGCCCTCTGAGCTCAGGTCCCGCCCCCTTTAAATTCTGTTCAGACCCTAGTGCTGCTCAACCTATATCGGAATCACAGAACACCGCCCAAACCGCAGATGGATCTCATTGTGAGTAAGGGACTAGACAGGACAGGAGCAGGGCAGACAGCCTTGCAGGAAGGACATCTCCTGATTTCACCCTTCTCCCCACCTCCAGGTCACGTGAGCGATGTAGAGGTGCAGGAACACTATGATAACTTCTTTGAGGTGAGAGTTAGCAGGGGTAGGTTGGGTTTCCTCTGCCAGCTTAACTGAGTTTCTCCTTGTCTTCTGCAGGAAGTGTTCACAGAACTGCAGGAGAAGTATGGGGAGATTGAAGAGATGAATGTGTGTGACAGCCTGGGGGACCACCTCGTGGACAATGTCTATGTCAAGGTGCTTGCTGCCAGCCCCCCTTTCCCCAGCCCTGAAATGGAAGCATTTCAATGCCTGGTGACCATCACTGAAACTTCACAGTTTGAGGTCCATTACTAAGTTAAATCCTGTCTAGCCTCAGAGCTACTATCTAGTTCCCTGAAGATCACAAGTTCTGCTGCTGACAGCCACCCACTTTCTCCAGTTTTGGCAGGATGAAGATGCAGAGCGGGCAGTGGCTGAACTCAGTAACCTCTGGTTCAACAGTCAGGCTGTGCATGATGAGCTGTCTCCTGTCACCGACTTTTAGGAGTCATGCTGTCGGCAGTATGAAATGGGGTATGGTAGTTTAAGGGTGGGACAGACACTCAGAGTCCCAGACTCTTGAGTGTGCTGGAAGGCTCAAACACACTCAGTGAGGAAAGTTTCCTGAATCCATCTATCCTCTACTCAGGGAATGTACCCAAGGTGGCTTTTGCAACTTCATGCACCTGCAACCCATATCACGGAACCTCAGGCAGCAGCTCTATGGGCGGGGACCTAGGCACAGGTAACTCGGGACCAGTCTGTCAAGATTTCTTATACCTAAGGACCCTGAGATAAGCCTAATCCTAAATCCCAGTCAGTGTCCCAAGACTCTTGTACCCTAAGAATAGTCGTGAGCTCTATCTGAAAACTAGTACCTCAGTCTCAATCCCCAAACCAGCTTGAACCTCAAATCCAAGACCAGCCTAGATCTCCAACCCTGAGATTGATCCCCGAGTGCCTTTCCTGAGACCACCTTGTGAAACACTAGTTATATTAATGACCACCCTGCCCATCCCAGAGCAGAGAGGCGTGGGGGAATCTTTGCACCACTCCCAATGGCTCTAACCCAGTTCTCTCCCTTCCTGTCCCCATATCACCCCTGAGGTCCCATACTGGCCACCGTCCCCGAGAAAGGAACTGTCGCCATTCCCCAGACCATCGGCATACTGTTTCTAAGACTGGCCCCCTTGCCCTTCACCCCTGACAGTCACAGATGTTTCTAGCAAGGACCCCTCCTCAAACTCCCCTTCACTCTAGCCCCATCTTCCCCAGGCTCCAGAAGTCCATTAAGTAATCTTTATAACAAGGATTTTCTCTACTGTGCCTCACCTAATAAAGTTCCACACTGAGGGTTTAGAGCGTCATCTGTGGTTTGCAGTTTCCTTCCACACACTTCCGATAAAAAAAAGAAGAGAGAGAGAGAAAGAGAGAGAAAACTGCTGGCTTCCAGCCACACGCTCAGCAGAAGCACTTCGAACTACTAATGTGAGAGAGGCTTGGGCTCAGGTCTGTACTGGTGGGGTGGGGATACCTTTGTCCTGGAAACCTCAGCTTCTCCATTTGAGACATCCTCAAGGGGGAGGTATCTGTTTATGGCAGATTGGAGGATTCCTAACATGGAAGAGATTAGGATCAGGAAGGGAGAGGTGGTTGGTAGTTCAGTGGGAGTCTCTAGTGAGTTAGGGATGGGTTCTTGAAGACCACCACTCTTGAGATGGTGGTAATACTTAACACTTAAATTGAATTTGGTATATGCCAGGTGCTGTTCTAAGGGGTTTACTTTTCTAAGCAATTTTCCTTCCTTCCTTCAAGACAGGGTCTTGCTATTTTGCTCAGGCTGATCTCCCAACTCCTGGGCTCAAGCAGTCCTCCCAGGCAACTTCTGAGTAACAGGCCTACAGGGCACCATGGCCTGGCTGGCTCTAAGCACTTCTAATAACAGAATATTCTCCACAGCAGCCAGGTGCTATGGAAAAGGGAGGGTGGATACCAGATCCAGAGTTCTCCTTAGCCATCTTGAGGCCTCTTGGGTCCTGATAATGAACGAGGAGTTGGCCTGGGGGCTCTGGTGGGGGTTAGGTTCCCGCTTCCAAAGAGGCCAGGGAATTCCTTCCCCGCAAGGAATTCTCCTACTTCCTTCTTCCCCTGGGATTTCTGGAAAGTGTGGCAGAAGAGCTGTGGTTGGAAGTCTTGTGGCCACAGCCTGCGGTGTGCAGGACCTGCCCAGATGGGGACCGGACGCTTCCTCCGTGTCGCCTTGCTGCTTATGGCTCAGGCCTTACCACAGCCGGAAGCCTCCCAGTACTGCGGCCACCTGGAGTACTGGAACCCTGACAACAAGTGCTGCAGCAGGTGCTTAGAGCGCTTCGGGCCACCTCCCTGCCCAGGTGAGGAGCGGACTAGGTATATGCATCAGTCGGTGAGGTGGTAGGAAGCTGCGGAAGGGGTGAGTGAGGGCTGTAGCTCAGGCCTGTGAGGCTTGTTTAGAGGCAGGCGTGGGCCTTCAGCAGGTAAGACAAGGCCGGCCTAGCCTATGTGGAGGACAGAGATGGGGCCGGCTAGTGGCGGGGTGGGGGGTAGTGGTTGTGTGGAAAGGTTGGCCTTTTTGTGGGTGAATTCGGATATGGGCAGTGCCTGGTGCTGAGTGGGTGGAGGAAAAAGGGGAGAGGCCAATATATAGTGGTGAAAGGGGCGGGATCAGTGTGAAAAGAAGGGAAGGCGAGGGCGGGCACTGATAGGCTGGGTGCGTGCCGAAGGGGCGGGACTTACTGGGATGGGGCAAAGGAGAGAAGTTAATAGAGCAGAGGTTTTGGGGCTCGCTCAGCCGCTCAGGATCTTGCGTTTGTTTCCCACTAGACTTCGAGTTCGTGGAAAACTGCGGGCTTAACGACTTCGGCGATTTCTTAACGCACCCGTTCAGAAAGTGTCCTCCTGGACACTGCAACCCCAACAACTCAGAGCAGTGTAGTCCCTGCAGCAGTGGAGTCGCAGCCTCCACCCCCGTGGGAAGCCGTGGCAGCAGAACCTTACAACGTTGTAAAGAGGTGCTGGGCGGCCTCCAGGGTCTGGGTCAGGGCTTGCTCAGGGTAGGGCGGGAGGCATGGTTTGGGGGTCGATGGGCAGGGCCTGGACCCAGGGAGAGGATAGGAAGCCGCGGAAGGGGTGAGTGAGGGCTGTAGGGCAGGCCTGTGAGGCTTGTTTAGAGGCAGGCGTGGGCCTTCAGCAGGTAAGACAAGGTCTCCTCCCCACAGAAGGGCCAAGCAGTACCTCAAAGTGGGGTGCCTGATGGGATGTGGGGAAGGCGGACTGGGTTAAGGTAGTGTGCACACCTGGCTGGTAGATGTATTTTATATGCAGTTTCTCATTTCATCTGCATAGTGATTTCTGCGGTTGGTACTATTATTATCACCTCTTTAGTATTAAGGAAACTGGGTCTCAGAGTGGTTGAATATGTTATCCAAAGTCATCCAGCAAATGGATTCTAGCAGGGAAGTACAGAGCCAGGCTACCTCCACCATCCCTGTCTGCCCTGATGTGGGGTGAGTGGAGTGAGGACAGGATGGAACAGGGGATGTAGCCCATCGAAGGATATAAGGGTGGGAGGGGCTTGAGCTGTTGGGGCAGGCGTGGCACATGGATTCCCTATTTATTCCCAAATCTTTATTCCTAGAAGCCCATCCCTTCCAAGGGCTCCTGCCCTATGTCATCTCAAGAAACCAGAGCCCCTAGTTCACCAGTGAGTTCCAGTCTCTCATGGACAACTGAGAGCACCAGCACGCTGCCAAATTTTGTTCTGTCTTTGGTACTGATCTCCTTGCTGGTCCTACTCCTGATCTTTGCAGTGATCCTCCTGCGCCCCCTACAAAGATACTACTGTCCCCGCAAGGGAAAAGCCATTTCCCTTCCCTCTCCTGGCTTGGTTTGTGGAGACCCCAACACCTACACCCTCTCCTTACACTCACCTTTCCCAGGTGCCCCGGAGGCACTGGAGAAAAGGACCACAGGGACAGTATCTCTGCTTCCACTCTCAGGCAAAGGTTAGTTGGGAACAGGACACATACAGGTGAGGGGTGACCTGGAAGTCTGCCCCTCCCTCTCTTTTACTTTCCATTTCCCAGGTCTGCCAGGCCTGGAGTCACAGCCCCTGTCTCGCCTCCTGGATGAACTGGAGGTGCTGGAGGAACTGATAGTTCTGTTGGATCCTGAGCCTGCTGGATGTATAGCCTATGGCACCACTCGACACCTGGCTGCAAGATACGGGCTGCCTGCTACTTGGTCCACCTTTGCCTACTCACTGCGGCCCAGTCGCTCACCATTGCGGGCCCTGATCGAGATGGTGGTAGCAAGGGAGCCATCTGCCTCCCTGGGCCAGCTAAGTGTGCACCTGGCCCACCTAGGAAGGGAAGATGCACTAAGGGTGCTGTCCAAGCTTGGCTGATTTGGGATTTGCCAGGCCTACTGCTCAAAAATAGTTTATCTTGAATTCAACACTTGCTGTCTGTTCCTCATCAAGGGGACTTCTTGAAGCATAATCTTAATTGGGCAAAGAAGACCCAACATGCCACCCCCTCCTCCCCACAGAAAGGCCACATGTGGGAGAGCTGACCTCAGTGCTGCTTTCTGAACAGTCTTGCTGCACCTCAGACAGCTCATCCACAGGCATTCAGTCTGCATTCTACATTAGAAAATGTGAGGCATTTCTTGCTTTGAAAACTTCGCAGCCCACACAATTTACTCCTAATTCCTACATGGCCTCTCACATACTGTTGAGGCTGATGTACTTCCTTGGTTCAGGAAGGGCTGGGGTATGGAGAAGCAACAGCTCCTACCTGCCCCTGCCTGCCCCCAACACCATACACATGGGAAGACCACCTCTCCAAACATTGACAGACTTTATTGTGGGGGGTTCCCACCTGGGACCCCACCCTCTTAAATAAAAAAAGTGCATAGAAAAGAAGGGATTTAGAAACCTTTGTACAATATCTACATCCTGGGCCCCCAGGGCAGGAAGGGGGCAATTGCTGGAAGGGTAGAGGCAGGCCCCTTGCCACTTGCATGTCCACATCCACTCTGGGAGGGTGGAAGTAAGATGCTCTGAGGGACTAGGGATCCTTCAGGCTAGGGGCAAGATGGCAAGAGGAGTTGTGAGGAGTCGTGGTGGGCAGCCACGGCCTCAGTTAAGGAACCGTCGGCAGCGCTTGGCGCCACAATTGCAGGGCAGCTTGTTGCTGGCATCCTCAATGGGGAACTTGTAGTCATAGGTAAGTTCCTCACCACGCAGGATGCGGCGCAGAGCAAAGATGACGATGTGCTTCTGGCCCTCCACATGGATGACACGAGAGAAGCAGTTGGGCTCACATGAATGGTTGATGAAGCGGGCGGCATTGCCGTGCATCGTGGCATCCACCACATCAAAGTCATCCATGCGGAACATGTAGCACCCGATGCCCTACAGAGATGGGTGGAGAGAATCAGGTGCTCGTCCCCAAGGACTGGCCCACTTCACCCACCTCATTCCCATGGCCTGTGCAGCCCACCTTCCCATCGTAGAACTTCTCCCGCTTGTCAGTCAGCACAGAGCGAATGACAATGCCAGAGTATTCAATGACCATCTCGCCGGCATCGATGTTGCGCTTACAGAACAGGCCTCGCCCATGGATGGCTGATCTGCCGTGTAGGATGGATAAGGGGAAACTCAGGGGGGCAGAGGGCCAGACACCATATCGCCCCCTACCAGGGCACCTGTCCATCCACCCAAGGGGCACCTCCCCTGACCCCACTAACCTGTAGACACCCACAGCCTCTTTGGACGTCTTTTTGAGGTGGCGAAAGCGCATGGCCATGGGCAGTTCCAGGCTGGTGGCACGTCTGGTGGGAGACAGAAGTGTGGAATCCAGGAAAGAGGGCTCTCTTACCCCTGGTCACCCTCTTTAGGATTCTTTCAGACCACCCACAGCACCCCAGCTTACCCTCCATACCTGGTTGACCTGAGCTGCACCTCATCCTCTTCCTCGTCACAGGTGGCCCCCTCAGGGAGCACCCGGTGTTGGGAGGCCAGGAAGTTGAACATATCAAAGGTACACTTCCTGCAGGTGGGAAGGAAGAAGGGAGGGAGGGTCATACATTCCTTCATGCTGCCTACAGATTCTGTGGCCTTGGTCTGCTGCTGACAGCATAGGAGGAATATGCTGTTGAAGACATAGCAAAAGGGGAAATGGTGGGCTTTATTCTTCTGATGTGAATGTTATGTTAGAAATAACTCTTGGAGCCAGGCGTTGTGCAGGCCTATAATCCCAGCAACCTGGGAGCCTGAGATAGGAGGCTCACAAGTTCAAGGCCTGACTGTCCAACTTAGCCTGTCTCAAAAATGGGAGGAGGGGCTGGAGGTGTGGCTTGGTAGAGTACCCCTGAGTTCAATCCCCAGTACTGAAAAGAAAACGAACAACAAAACCCCACCACTCTTGGAGCAGCCTAGTGTCTTCTTCCCAGGACTTGGTTTCAATACTACAGACTCAGCTCCCACCCTTGAAAGCTCCCAGACCTCTCACCGGAGATAGACCTCAGCACGGGCAGCCCCATGGGGATTCAGGGGTGGTTCCTCCTGACCCTCTCCCTGCTGGTGGTAGCGAAACTTATAGTGCTGGCAGCGCTGGGCCCCAGGCAGTTGCTCTGCCAGGAAGATGACAGCATCATGGTGAATGCCCAGGAGCCTGGCCCCACTCATTCCTGAGGAGAGAGGTTGATGATGGATCAAATCCTGGAAGGCCTACCTTGCCCTCAGGGAGTTATCCCAGCCCCCAAGTCCCTGTTGATCTACCCTTTACTTACCACTAAAAGAGAGATGTCTCAGCCGTGCATGCCCTCGGGCCTCTTGCACTTTCTCAATCAATGTTCTCCACGCCCCTGGAGTAAGAGCAGTGCCAGAGTAGAGTCAGGAGGAGGTCTTGTGGGCCAATTTTCTTCCCTGCCACTACTGTTCCCAACTCACCCTCCAAGCTCTCTGCCTCCACACTGAAGCCATCCTCACTACTGATCTCAAAGCGCAGATGTGGGCCAGCCCGTTTTGGAGCCTGGTTCTCTTTGTCCTCTGGAGATGGAGGTTCTTCTTCAGAACTGGAGGCCTCACCTGGTCCCAATGAGCAGGTAAGAGGGCAAGGATCACCTTCCTGGAGTCAAAAGTCTCCAACATCCCACTGTACTCCCTGCAGACACCACTTTCCCTTCCCCCAGGCACACAGACTATGGAGTCCAATCACCCTCCTCCTGCTCGTTCTGCCCAGTGAGCCCTATAAAATGGACATATTTTTCTCAATGAGACATTCATAAAGGATTTTTCTTTTTTGGTGGTGCTGGGGATTGACTCTAGGTTGGCCTCAAACACCCTAGGCAAGCATGCCACCACCAGCCCAGAACATGGTTTTTCTTTTCTTTTTCGTACTGAGGATTGAAACCAGGGGTGCTCAACCACTGAGCTACATCCCCAACCCTTTTTTAATGTTTTATTTAGAGAGAGGGTCTCACTGAGTTGTTAAATGCCTCACTAAACTGAGACTGGCTTTGAACTCACCATCCTCCTGCCTCAGCCTCCTGAGCTGCTGGGATTACAGGCGTGTGCCACCATGCCCAGCTTTTCTTTTTCTTTTAATTTTTTTTTTTTTAATTGTAGATGGACACAATACCTTTATATTATGTTATTTATTTTTATGTGGTGCTAAGGATCAAGCCCAGTGCCTCACATGCCTAGGCAAGCTTTCTACCACTGAGCTACACCCTAGTCCAGAACATGGGTTTTTCTAAGGGGCCTACAGTTCCTTTTCTTTTCTTTTCTTTTTTGGTACTGGGGACTGAACCCAGGGGTACTCCACCACTGAGCCACACATCCCCAGTCTTATTTTGTATGTTATTTAGAGACAGGGTCTCACTGAGTTGCTTAGCGCCTCACCATTGCTGAGGCTGGCTTTGAATTCACGATCCTCCTGCCTCAGCCTCCTGAGCTGCTGGGATTATAGGTGTGCGCCACCATGCCCGGCTGCGGTTCCTTTTCTATAGGACTTCTCAACCATCAGAACAGTTTCAAAGAGGCATGGAGTGTTTGAACTCTGCAGGCCACACAAGATTGCTCACTCAAATCCAGTCTATCATAAATGCCCATATATCAATCATCATTGTTTTCACACAAATTAAAAATACTAGGAAATTATATTTTGCAGTTTTTTTTTTTTTCCATGTTGGGGATCAAACCCAGGGCCTTACAGATGCTAAACAGGTGCTCTAACACTGATCTACAGCCCCAGCCCTATATACAGTAAGTTTCTACAAATATTGTAAGTAAGCTGGGCGTGGTGGAGCATGCCTATAATCCCAGGGGCTCAGGAGGCTGAGGCAGGAGGATCGCAAGTTCAAAGCCAGCCTCAGCAACTTAGCAAGGCCCTAAGTAGCTCAGTGAGACCCTCTAAATAAAACATAAAAAAGGGCTGGGGATGTGGCTCAGTAGTTAAGTGCCCAGTTAAGCAGTCTCAGTCCACCTTGCTCCACTTTCATGCTCAACAGTTAATCTCTGTGTAATGAGAAAATCCCCAGGACCAAAAAAAAAAAAAAATATATATATATATATATGTATTACAAGCATACATACTCATACACATAGAACCAAGTACACTGTACATTAAGGTATTTAAAAGACTTCTCAGGGGTTAATAGATTTTAGAGATAAGAATAGGTGACTTGCTGACATAGAAGTGGATGTGACAAAAAGAGTTGTGGCCAAAGACAATTCCGAGGTTTGGAGCTTAAATGGAAAAAGGATAAAACTGCCACTGACTGCAATGGTGAGGAAAAACAAGAACAAATTTGGGGTGAAGGTCAAGGGCTCAATATGGGACATTATGGCTTTGGGTTGCCACTTAGAAAACTCCCCCTGCAATTTGCTGGTGGAAATAGCAAGGAAAGGAGGCAGCAGATTGCAAACTAGGAGTTCAGAGATTAGGTCTGGGTTGGGAAAGCAATATGGGGACTATCAGATTATAAATGTGTATGTAAAGCCAGAAGAGAACATCTGGGAGTATAGATAGTCAAATCAAGGGCAGGACTCTGGGACACACTAAAATTAGCAGGTTGGGAAAATATAATGACCAGCTCTTAGTCTGTATCCTGTGGTGCCAGCAGCAGCACTGGTACAGCTGTGTGCCCTCCCTCCTTGAGACATTCCTTCCCTGGCTTCTAGGACCCCACATTCTCCTCTCAGAGGTGAGAGCTGGTCATTACATCTGGGGTTCAGGGTCAGAGCACAAAAGCCTGAGTGGAATATGATTTAGGATAGCAGGACCCAATGGCCACATTCTTGCCACATCATTTCTCAGGGGTATCCTGCCCACACACCCTCCCCAACTCCAAGTGAAACTCTAAACCAGACCCTTGCTGTGTGTGTGACTCGCATCATCCCAGGACTCAGCATCCCAGGGTCCACCTCTAACCACTTCTAGCTCTTCTCTTACCTGCTCCCCATCCTCACCTCTGCACAATAGTGCTGACTGCAGGGCTCTTGCCCAGCTACTTTCATTTTTCCCTCACAGTACCCATCTAACCTGTAATGCACTTGTACTGCATTGTGTGTCTACTTCCCCTACCAAAACTTGGTATGGTCCCTAAGGGCAACAAATGCCTGTCAGTTACTGCCATATCCTCATGTTGTCTCTGACCCCCTAAGCAGCCTCTCAGTTAAGCAGTCTCAGTCCACCTTGCTCCACTTTCGTGCTCAACAGTTAATCTCTGTGTAATGAGAAAATCCAAACACCTGGACAGGATTGGGCCACAAATCCCAAGCAAGGCTGTTTGACCACCAACTGACTTGGCTCTCCCCACTCTTGAGAGACTTCACTTCCAGCTTCACTGAGTCCTGCAATCAAAACTACTCTGAGCGCCCCTATCATCTCCCAATTTCTGCATTGATACGTATCTCACCTCTTCTCCTCCATCTCAGAAGTCACCTGTTTGAAGCTAACCACCATAAGTTCTCCCACTCGCCTTTCCTTCCACAATCATCCTTTGGTTCATCTCAACCCTCACACCAAATACTTCTAAGCAGCTGCCCTATCTCCTCCCCCTCCTAATCCTTAGCTGAACTTTGTGGCAAGGTGCCTGTTGTTGTTTTTAGCTTCTTCATTAACCAATACCTTTTAATTCTGGATGGTGACACAATATCCTCCTCACCCCTGTTCCACCTGCTCATACCATACACTGTTCCCAGACTCCCAGTGGTGCTTCCTATGGCAGGTAGATTCCCAAATGACCACTCCCTTTCCTTGACCGCTCTCTTCTGGTCCTCCTGTTCCTGGCCCTCTTCTGGGTCCTTGGTCATCCTCTCTAGATGATCCCCAAGATGTTCATCTTTAGCTTGACTAGATACCTACCTCTCTGACCCTGTCAGACCAAGCTACCCTGGGCAGGCCAGACAAAGGACTTAAGAGGACTTTGCTGAAATGTTATTAAAGCTAAAATATCATTTTTATGTCTGTTTCTGCCACAAGGCCTTGAGATCCCCATGGGCATCTCTGTGACCATAGCACTTAGCCTTGGGCTCACAACCACTAGGTATATTCTCCTTTGTTTTCGGGTGCTAAAAATTGAACCCAGGGCCCCTCTAAGTTAGGTATACCCTCAGCTACTGGTATGCACTTTTTTTTTAAATTGGGCCAATTCAGGATGTGTCAGTCATCTAGTTAAGTCGAGCACAAGAAAAAGGCAGTGAAAAGGAAAAACTGGTCCTTACCTGAATAGTGGTGCCACTGGGACTCAAGCAGCAGGTCTGGGGTACCATCAGGGGCCCGGGGAGGACCTGCTTCTGGAAGTGGCAGCAGAAGGGACCGTTCCTGGAGGGGCCTGTGAAGAAAGACCTGTTAGAAAAAGAAGGAACAGAGGTCCCAGACTGGCCTCTAGGAAAAGGGGACCTAGCCACTCACCCAGAGCTTTCCTCCCCAGGATTATCCAGGCTGAGAACTCCTCGCACCGTCGGCGTTTTCATCCTCACTCGGCTAAACCTGGCAGGGAGAATCCATGAAAAGGACAAGCTGCCTTCTCTTGCCCATCATCCTTGCTTGCTGCCCCAACCTCAGGACACTCACTTACCCACTGCTACCAAGTCCTGGAACTTGGGGGACATCCTCCAAGGACTCCCCATCTTCATCCAGCCGGGGGGTTTTGTTTGGGGGAGGTGCTGGTGGGGAACGGCCAGAAAAGGTGGACACCCTTTTGACACGGATGGCCTGGCGAGGCGGGCTGGGGGGCCCACTGCTGAACACCAGTGTCAGTGGAGGCGGAGGCGGAGGCGGAGCAGGGCGGACTACCCCTACCCCTACCACTGGCAACACACCAAGCAAGGGTCCTGGGGGCAGAGTCCAGGAGGTGGGGGTCGTGGGAGGAATGGTAGGGGGCAAAGGTGGCTGCTTTACTGGGGGTGGGACAGGTTCACCCTCCCCAGCCATCTTCACAAATACTTGCCCCAGCTTGTTGACAAGAATGATCTTGGATGTAGCAGGTTTAGGGGGCTCAGGAGCAGGGCCCAGGCTTAACACCCGAACTCCTGGGGCCCCAGGGAGCCAGGCAAATGTCCGGGTGGGATCGGCTGGGCTAGGGGGCAAGCCTTGGGAGGGCTGGCTGCCATTTGCCATGGGAGGTGCTTGGGGAAGTGACTCCTCTCTGGGACCAGCAGCCCCCTCCCCAGGCCCCCCTAGGTTCTTCAACACAAAATCCACAATTTCTGATGGCAGGTCCTCAGGAGGTCGGGTCCTGTCCCCTGCAGCCCCGAGGACTCCAGATCGGCCCACTCCAGGCCCTGCAGGAGGAGTCCCCTGGCCCCGGGGTTGCTGGACTGCCTCGGCCTCGCTGTCTGTGCCATCGTCCACTCCATCCAGCTGTTCAATTCGGGGGACTCCAGGGAGGGTGCCAGGTGCCAGAGCAGGGCCAGACACCACTGTCACAGGGAAGTGGACATAGCGGGTAGTGGGGCTGTTCTCTTCCTCTGAGCTGTCCCCCGGGCCCTCATGGCTGCTCCCCACTGCCCCTGCAGCCACAATCTCTTCCTGGAAGGGCTCAGTCCCCAGTAGGCTGGCTGCAAAGTCCAGGTCAGCAGCACTCAGTCCTGATACAACTTCCATGTCCTCAAAGTCTGGGCCCAGATCTTCAGGGGGTGGTGGTGGAGATGGGGCCAAGCCAGGGGGAGCCAGCTCCCCTGAGGTAGGTGTGAGGGCTGTAATGACTGAGGTAGGAGGGGGCACCCTGAGCTGAGGGGACGTTCTGAGAGGAGGGGAGGCCCGCCTTGATGGTGGCGGCCTGGGAGTCAGGGGGCTAGGACGACGGGAACGTCTGGGTGGAGCTGGGAAGTCCGGGTCTCCCACAGTAGGGATGTGGTGGGTCAGAGAAGATGGACTTCCTGTGGTGAAAAGGGTCAGTGCGTCAACCAGTGACCAGCCAATGGGGAACTTCACCCTCCCCTGGACACTCCCCAAGTGCTCACCAGGGGAGGGCAGGGGGCCAAAGGAGACACCCCCCAAGGGCCTCCGGGATGGCGAGTAGTTGGGCACTTTGATTCGAGCCCCTGAGAAGGAGCGGGGGGCTGGAGGAGGAGCGTTGCTTGAATCTAGCCGGAGTGGGGGATCCAGATTCTGAACAGGCGAGTGATGCTCAGGAACTCCAGGGATTAGGGCATCTGTATCTGGTGGGGGATCCTCATGATATGGGGGCTCTGAAGAAGTAAGAGAACTGCATTAGGGGCGATCAGTCCAAGTGTCCCATTACGATACCCCCTTCATTTAAACTAAATACACCGTCCAGGACCTCAACCCTGAACTGGTCACATCATGTACTAGACTCCTGTCATCAACTGGGCCCCATCTGTGGCACCTGTAAAACCTCTATGAACACCCGCATCAGGGTCCTTTCATGATGTCTCTTCCCCATCCTTGCCATCTCCCCACTTCCTAGTTGCCCACTGCTTTCTCTACAGTAGGCACCACCTGCCATGAGCTACAGTGCCCTCTCTCCAGCATAGCCAGTCCTACCACTTCCTACCTGCTCTGAGCATCCATGCCACATCAAACACATCGCCTCATCCTGGTGTTTCAGGCTCTCCATTAACTGGCCCCACCCAGACTTTGCAAGATGATCTCTGCCTCCTCTCAACACTCCCTTCTCTCCAGTCAGGATGAATGCACCCTCCTCTTCTCTCCACTTCATATCATGCTCCAACTTGGAGTAAGACTGTTAACCCACAAATACAATCCACACTTCTTCCTCCTATTTGGCCCACAATGACTTCTCCCTTTCCTACTAATCTCTAAGTACATTCTTTGAGTCATCCAGCTCTAATCCCTCCCTGTCAGCATGGCTGTGAGGTTGCCAGTTGGGAAATAAGTAGATCCAGGTTCAAATTCCAGTTCTACCAATATGTTACTGCAATAGCAAAAGTCCCCCATGAGATACAATACCACAGAACCCATACCTTCACCAGAGTTGGTGAAGCATTAAATTATCATATAGCCCTAATCCAGGAACTAAAACCACTCCACTTCTTACGGCTGTCCCCAAGTCACCACTCCTCTAAAGCTAGTCACAGGGTGTTCTCCCCCCAGTCACTTCCTAGGAAATGCTGAGCACAGCCCTAGGCAGGTAATGCATGGCCAGTAAGTTATTATTTTTATTACAAACAAATAAGCACTTCCTGGAGTTTCTCCAGGAGAGCAGGGAAAGAGAGGCTGATGGGTAACCATTTAGGAAGGGCAGCATCAAAGGAAAAGAATGGGGTAGTACCGAGCCAGACCTGAGGAGGGGGCAGGGCTGTGCGCAATGGTCTGGTTCTCCTCTGCTGCCTCCAGGTGAACCGGCTCTTCCCTTGGCCCCCACGGCCGATACTCTAGAATTCGGCACCGATACCAGCAGCGCCTCCGAGCATCCACTGTGCTCCAGTACAGACGGGAGCACCTGGTAGGTCGAGGGTGTGGGATGAGAAGGTTAGGACAACTTGAAAAAAGGGATCCAGTCCTGAAGTTCCCCAACCCACTAATCACCCCTGGATTGCTCACTGGTAGCCAATGGGGAAGAGCCGTCCCTCACAGTCCGAGAGATCAGAGAGAGTACCCAGGGAGTCAATTCGGATGGAGCCTATGGTGCAAACAAGAGATCAGGAGGGGTAGTTGGACAAGCAAGGTCAGAAGAGTAGGGAGAATCCAAGTGGCTTACCAATGAGCACATTGATGGCATCAGGTTCAAGGCCTGTCAAAAACTTTCGCTTAAAGTTGATGCCTTCAAAATCCACATAGACTCGGCGGAGAACATCAAACCCATCAGGGGTCACAATCTCCTGTGAAGTAGAAGGCAAATGGAGGTTGATTGGCGGGAGTGAGGGGAATGTGGGGGTATGTGAGGGAACAGCTCTGCAGGCCAGAACTGAATGGTCACGTTCGAAGCTTGTCCTAAGGACTGTGGAAGAACATACAAGGAGGAGACACTGAAAGTGCAATGGGCAGCTAGCTGTCTCCTCAACTGTCCTGGCCCACCTTGCCATCTAGGAGGTCTGTGTGTTTCTGGCAGAAAACCTTCTTGTCGTCCTGGAAGATGCAGTAGCTGGCTCGGGCACACATGAAGTGGAAGTTACTGAGGCAGGAGGACAGGCAGCAGCCCACTGTGGCGCCAGGCTTCAGGCAGAGCTCACAGCGCTGCAAAGGGAAAGGGCTGTTGAGTGGACAAGCCAGGTACTAGAGCCAGGGTCTCATGCCGGGCACTGCTGATTCTAGGACTCTGCCTAACCCAGCACCTCCCTCAACAAAAGCTCTCACTAGGCTAAACCTCTTCCTTGACCATGGCGAGGAGCACATCCAAACCATTTTAGGGCCTTTTTTTTTTGTTTTTGTTTTAGTTTTTATGTGGTGCTGAGGATCAAACCCAGTGCCTCACACAAGCTAGGCAAGCACTCTGACTCTGAGCCACAACCCCAGCCCTGCATTTCAGGGTTTTTGAAACAAAGCATTATTAGACAACTTGAAAAAAAAAGAGAAAGATTAACAATAGCCAACACTTACTGAGTCACATTTAGTATCTTCCTTTCCTCACACTGTTCGAATGTGGAGTCTGCTTTACTCTATCTGGTCTTCACAACTAACCCCTGCAGTCAGAATCTCCATCATCCAAGCGCTGATGAGCACTTGGCACTCTCTGAGGCCTGCCCCAGGCCAGACAGTCCATGGGGGCAATTCTGACCCAGGTACTACCTCATCACTTCATGGGGGCAGAGTGAGCGTAAAATGTCACAGTATAGCACATCTAATACAGGTTCAATCAACAAGACTAAAAAGACTAAAGCCTAACTTTAGTCCCCCAAGGCTTCAGGCTCAAATTATGGCCAGATCTGTCACTGTAGCACCAGAGTCCTGGAACAACCAAGAAAGGTATCTAGAAATAGCAGTCAAAAGACACATCCTGGTAGAAAATGTGAAATAAGAGCTGCTTCCACTAAAGGCAGGGACCTATCTGAGACCCCAGGGCTGCCCTTCTCTCCAGGACCCAGCCCTCACCATCTGCCTCCCTCGAGCCACAGCAGCATGCACGTTCTTGAGGGAGCCATCGTTCTCCTCAAACACTTCAGCCGACCAAATAGCACAGTTGACGTGTGTCCACTCATTCTGCCCGATGTACAGAAGCCGTCCCGCTTCCTATAGGCAGAAGAGGAATTGTATGATGGAGGAGGGAGCTTCCAGGGCCCCACAACCTGAAGCTTCATACAGCAGCCCTCACCTTGGAGTCCGCATCCCCGTATTTGAGGCAGAGTGCACACTGACGGGGGTCCTCCAGGTGTGAAAAAGCAGCAGGATCCTTGCACTGGAAAGCTGGAAAGGATGCAGAAAAAGAAGTCCAAGAATCAGGATCAGCAGACTAGCCCTCAAGCTTAAGGGCACTAGCTTCCAGCACCCACATGTCAGTACCTGCTGAAGGATCCCCTGGAGGCTGCCCTGATTCTGGGGTCTCAGGTTCCTCCTGTCTCCACTGAGCATACACATGGTCCAGGGATGGGGGCAACACCGCATTGGGAAGGACTCCGCTGTGGACACGCAGAGTTAGCATCTGATATGTCTAACAAGGACAGCTGGACTGGGGCCCACCCACAACATCAGTCTAAATGTGCCATGACACTCTTCATCCTCTCTCTATGTGGAAGTTTTCTTAGTCTCCCAAATAAGCCAGATCCTCTTGTACCTCCTTTGATGTAAAAAATACTGTTCTCCTCATGCCTGAAATAATCTTCCTCCACCTCTCAGCTCAGATATCACTGCTTCCAGGAAGCCTTTCTGATCCCCAGCCTCCAGCAGGTGCCTCCTTTAGGCTCCCACAGCCCCCTGGATTTCCCCATTGCCACCCTACCCATCTAGATCATTAATACCTGCCCAGCACCCCAAACGTGAGCTCTTTAAGCAGAGTCCAATTTTACTTGCTCACTGCTCTGTCCTCAACTGCCTTATATAAAGTAGAAACAAAGCAAGAGCTAACTTACACAACCTGAGTCTTTGCTAGTCCACAACCGCCGGGGAATCTCATCCTGGTTTCACCACCCTCTTCTTTAGCCTCAACCCTAACTCTGATCCTTATCTATTTTCAGCCCAGCTTGACCCTGGATTTGTAGGTGCCCCTGTCTTTGCCCTCACTCCCTGGTTCCCTCCTGCTACCCAGCCTTGCTCACTTTGGCAGCCGGGTACTCCGTCGCCAGTACTTGGGGTCGTGGGCGTCGAACCAGCCGAACGCAGATTCTAGCAGCTGGGGAGTGGGTTAACAGGATGAGAACTGGCTTCCCCAAAAGTTGGTGGGGGCAGGGTCTGATGAATCCACTCTCTCCCCCCACTACCATTCAACCGCCCTAGGAACAACATCCCCCAGTGCTTACCTTCAATAGGAGCCCCTTCATCTGGCTTCCTGCCCGGCGCTCTGGGGTCTCTCCTTCTTCTGAGTGCCTCATCAGGATGCCCACCATGTCCTCCATGAAGCTGTGCTGTAAGGGGGTTTGTCAGGGTCTGAGCCAACCCTAACCCACAGACCTAGCTCTACCCTCTCCTCTTGGTACCCACCTGCTCCTCCCCATGTCCCACTCACCACAGACTTATAGTGGCCATCCTCGAAGCGCTGACCCACAGCTTGCAGATCACAGGGACCTGGATGCAGTTGTTTCCCATCCTGCCCACACTGCAAATAGGAAAAGTCAGCAGGGCTGGTGCTGGGCCTGGCCCCACCCATCCTGCCTCCTGGGCCCTCCAGACCTGGGTGCACAGCAGCAGTGGGCCCGCCACCTTTGAGCTCAGCAGGCCCTGGAGCACCTGGCGCAGGCCCCCCTGTAGAGCCCCACTCAGGGCCTCTCGCCAGCGAGGCTGTGTGGCCCCAGCACATGGTCCACACGTGTACAGCACCGAGTCTGGCAGCCCAGAGAGGATCTCATAGTCTTCATCTAGAACAGCCAGGCAGGAGAGGAGAATATGTTTTGGGAGGATGGCAGAGGTCCTAGGAGCCCCTAGGCCATGAAGAACACTTAGCCACATGTTGTCTAAGGACCTGAGGTGGGATAGGGATCCCCCTAGGGCTAAAGCTACACCCCAGGTACTCTGCCTACTCACCTGAGAGCCCCTCACACTTGGCATGCACCCAGTGGTCACACTGTGCGCACTGCATCATCTTGCTCTCATAATCATTGTCTTCGTAGCAGCGTGTACAGATTGGGCAGTAGTTTCCTAGAGGAAAAGGGAAGCAGGGAAGAGTCAGAGAGGCTGGAGTTACTCCCTACCCCTCACAGTCCCTGTGGAGAGCCAACCACACCTTGACTGCTATGTAGGAGGCATCCATTATGCCTGTCTCAAGTCCCTAATAGTCCCCCCCACACTGGCTGAAGATGAAGCCTCTTTTCTAACTCTGCAGCCCTGATGCCCTTCGAAACCAGGGTCTTGCTAAATGTGCTGCTTGAACAAATTAGGAAAAAGTCCCAAGTTTTGAATTGCCAATTGGAGATTGGAGTTTACAGATAGGATCTCAGAAACTGACCAAGAGTAGGGTCCCAGGCCCTTTATTCCTACCACCCTCAGAGGGGCTGTGTCTGTCTTTTAAATGAACTTCTGTGGGAGGATATTCTGAATCAAAAAGTTATGTAGCTAGAAGGTAGAAAGCCACTAGACTATCTGTTCCAACTCTTGCTGGCAGAGGCCCTATATCAGGAGCCTGGCCTCCTCCCCTCTGGTCCTCCAGTCCCCATTTTCCTGGCAGGTCCCACCTTTCTCATAGAGCTGGGTGCATCTGGGGCAGAGGCTGTAATCTCCAGACCACTCAACATCCCAGTTCTTCCCTGGAGTTGCCCCACAGCTCTTGCAACGCACACAGGCCGAACAGATCTGGGAGAGCAGGGTGATATTAGGAAGAAACCAGACATTGGGCTGAAGCAATACAACAGGGGAGATAGGTGAGGAGAAGTGGGGGGAACAGATGAGGAAGGACAATAAGAGGAGAAGAGATTTGTGGGGGAAACAACGAGGAAGAGGAGAGGGGCAGAAATGGACATCAGGCTACGGCAGGTAATGCTGAGCCTGGGAATGTGGAATGCACCAGCTCCTAAAACCATGACATCAAATTCTGCATCTAAATCTTGTCTGTGAAAATTTAAAGAAAATATTAATCAAATTCTCAAAGTGATGCCAGCCCTCCCCTCCTCCTGAGAACCCTGGGGCAAGTCGGGGGTGGTGGTGGCATAATTACACTACCATAGTGAGGGTTGTGAGCCTCATCTCTCACCCAATGGCGTCTTTTACGTGTGGCCCGGGTTGGATAACTGGGCCCCAGGCAGGCTGGATGGTAAGCATGGCGGCATCGCTCACACTCCAGAAGGTGCTACGGAATGTTGGAGAAAGATGGCAATGGCAAAACCTATCGGCATAGGGATATACCCCTCTCGCATGCCTTCACCTATTACAGGCTGGCCCCTGTGCCCAACCTTAGATCCCCTGCCTTTGCGCCCACAGACATGGCAGAACTTGCAGCGACGGCAGCACCAGCTATCATGATGCTGAGGCAGGGGCCGTTCAGCCTCCTCCAGGCAGAATGGGTGGAAAGGGTCACAGCAGACTTGGCAAAACACCAACTGGAGGTAGGGTGGGAAAGAGCAAATGATGGGCACAGTGTGAGGTTAGAAGGCCAGGAGATGAGATGGCCCCAATAATCAGGAAGAGCCAATGAAGACTTGGGGGGGTCTGTGAAAAGAGGGAGAACACCAACCTCATGTAGGCCTTTGCTGGCACACAGCAAGCACACCATTGGGGGCCCTCCTGGGACAGAAGTGAGCACGCTCAGGCCACCCATCAGCCATACGTTCTCTAGGTCACAATCCTCCTAGGGGAAGAGGGGACACAGGATTGCAGAATAGCCAGGAACCTAGGTCAGATCCATCCTTTAAGCCCTGGCTACTCTGACACAAGCAAAAAGCTTCTTCCAACTACAAGCCCTACAACCTGCCTCTCTCCCTGACATACCTTAAAATCCACACGAACCCGGTGCACTCCATCTGGGGACTTCTGTTTTCCCGTCCAGCCATTGGGAAAAGAAGCAAAGTGGCTAGGGCCCAAAGCATCCTAAAGAGGGATAAAGAACTGATCAGAGGCTGCCCATCTTACCCTCTCTGCAGACTCCCCTCCTCAATGCCCTTCCCCTAGCCTGCCAAACCCTGACCTTTGCCCATACTCCACTCTGCTTTCCATATAGCAAGGCCTGACTCATCCCTTAAGGCCTGTCCTCTGGTGTGGACACACCACAGTACTCTGGTGTGCCCGTCACCCTGACTTGCCAGGTAGCTCCTGGAGGGCAGGAGCCATGCCTCACACAGGGCTCGGGGTTCTCGAAGCGGGCCGTGCTGACCTTGTCCAGGCGCCTTCGAGCCTTGAGCTGCAACACAGGCTGCAGGGTGGGTTTGCGGGGCCGGCTCTGCTCCTCAGGTTCTGGTGCTGGCAGCTCTAGGCAGGACACGGGAGCAGTGAGACTCCCCATCTATACCCCATGATCGTCTTCTACAACCCCAATGTTACCTAGATTACCAAGGCCTTCTTTAACTAAGATTCACAAGGATGACCCTGAGGCCCTGCTCAGTAAGTTCAGTGAGATCCTCACATACCAGTTCTGTACATTCTCCTAAAACTACCTCCTCCTCTGTTCTCAGCCACCCTTTCTCAAGCAGACTGATAAGAGCCCTGGTGCTGAATGCCTTGCCGCTTCCACAAAAGACACAAGACCAGGGTTGTGCACGTAGCCCAAAGATGGAGCACTTGCCTACCATACACTAAGCCCTTAGTTCCATCCCCAACATGGCCAAAAAAAAAAAAAAAAAAAAGAGAAAAAGAAACATAACCGATTGCTTGACGGAGAAAACATAAAGTAGTCCATACCGTTTTCTCTGGGGGTCCGACGCCGAGGAGCAGGAGGACCCCCGGGCTCTGAGTCATCCGAGTCCTCGAAGATATCATAGGAAGGTCGCTGTTTGACGCAGCGCCGGGCTGACTTGCGCTGCAGTAGGAGGGAGTCCTGCTCCTCGGGTCCTGGGGGGGCCACCACCTCCTCCCGGGGCCCCCCAGTTCCCGCCCCCCGACGTGGGCCTGGAGGACCCGGGGAGGCCTCAGGAGATTCATCCGAATCCCAGGGCAACAGCGTCTTCACTATCGTCCGGCCTGTGGGAACAGGGGACTTAGTAGGATTTGAGCTCAGCTGGGGACATGGGACAATGAGATAGAAAAAAGACAAGAAAGAAGTGGGGCGGACAGAATGAACATAGGAGGAGTTATGATACATTTGATGGGGAAGAAGACAAAGGCAGAGAACTGCAAAGATAAGGAGGAAGAGCGAATAAAACGTGGCTTCCTCCACACCACAAATCTACATAAGGTTTCGTGAAGAAAAATGCTCCTCAAACCTGGTTACCTTTTTTGGCCAGCCGTTCCATCTTACGAGCCTCTATCTTGTCACACTTTCGGTATCTGGGGAGGGGAGCAGCACGTCACCAGGGTAGGGGACTGGTGGTCTGGGGGAAGAGAGGAAGCTCTCCACAAGGATGCCAATCCCACTGCTCTGGCTGGGCAGAAAAGGGGCTGGGGTAGGAGGTCTGGATCACGAACAACCCCAAGTGGGAACAAGGCCACCCCCAGCTACTCACACACAGCACTGCTTCTTGGTGTTGGGGCCCCCAAATTTGGGCTTATCCAGGCAGTTGACACAGGACCCACAGTCCTGCACACGCAGGCAGCCCCGACAGTGTCCACACCGGGCCATCCGCATCTTCTTGCCGTGGTGGGAGGGCAGTGAGCGCCGGGGTGTGTGGGTTAGGGTCCCTCCAGACCCTGTAGGCTCCAAGTCTCCCCCAGGTCCAGCTGATTCCACTTTTCCCCGCTGGGACCGGGATGGGACACTCTCAGTCTCAGATGCTGATGACGTATCTATTGCAAAAGATAGAGTGGAAATGGAGCCACAAAGCCACCAGGCATCCTGCCTCATTTTCCTGTTCTCCCTCAAGTTCCATTCAGCTGGCCCTCTGGCCTCTACTTTCCCACACTGATAGGTTCTAGATGCTCCCGAGTCAACCTGCTTTGTCAAAGATCCAGCTAACCTGACGTGGCTGTCAAGAACTCACCCCCCAAATTAACCCCCCTACCCTCTGTGGCGAGATCTTGCCGGTCCCGGAGAGGGAGGGCACTGAGGCGGGGAACATCTTCAGGTACCATGGCCCGGGCCTGACCAAGGGCTACAGCAGCATGACGACACACGTGTTTGATACGGGGACCTTGCACAGGTGACTCAGGGCCCTGGGAGAGGAGCAACCAGAAATAAGTGTGGGCAATGGTTCCCTGTGTTCCATAACTAGCCTACTTCCAAGAACCCTCCTCCAACTGCGTACCGAGGCGCGCTCTCTCTTGACTTCCACAGACTCATCTTCAGACCTGACACAGCCTCTGTCTGGGGTCTGCTTGACAGTCCCCATAGCCTCTTCCATTTGCCCTCCAGGGCTCAGCTGGTAGGGGAATAAACAGGGTCAGGATCTGGGAAGTAAAGACAGATGGGGACAGGGGAATAGCCATAGGGAAGGAATAGGATCGAGGACAAAACAGGACACTAGAGGATAAGGGAAGAACTGGTTCTGAAGGCTACTGACAGTGCTGAATAGTATCTAGGGAGGCAGCTGGATGAACTAGGGAAAAGGGCCTGGCCACAGCACCTTGCTCACCGGCATGGCCGCTGCCACCTTCTGCTGCTGCTGTTGGTCAATCTTGAAGAGCTGTACCTTGGCTCTCTTGAGAAGGCTGAACATTTTCTCCTCCACCCCAGACAGTGGTAGGGAACTCAGGCTGGTCATCCGGGCCTTTTCCAGTGGTGGTGTGTGCTGTGGTGATGGCTGCGGCTGCACTTGTGGCTGCTGGGGTGGTAGTGCCTGGGGCAGTAGCTGGGTCTGCAAGGCCTGCAGGGGCTGTTGTAGCTGAGGCTGCTGCCCATTGCTTAGAGGTGGAGCCCCATGGGGGGGCACCTCAGCCTTAACAGGAGTGGTGACCACAGGGGCAAATCGAGGCAGGCTGAGGTGATTGGTTCGGCCCACTGCCCGTGGCTCAGGCTCAGCTGGAGAATCATCGGCAGGAGGCGGCTCTGGCTCAGGGGCTTCAGGAGCCCCAAGAGGAGTAGTAAGCACCGATTCATAGATCTTCAGGTGGGCTTCGCTGGGGGTAAACTGTGGGGCTCGAAGAAGCAGGGGCCTCCGGGAGGGTGTGGCAGGGGCAGGTGGTGGAGATGGGGCTGGTGGAGGGGCAGGGGGAGGAGGGGGCGGCTCCCGGGTTAGTGAGGTCCAGCGAAATGTGGGTTCCCTTAAGATGGACCGCCTCTTCTCAGGGAGTGGGACTGGGGTAGATGGGGGAGTTGGAGCACGTGGTGGAGAGGGAGCTGGTGCTGGTTCCTGGGGAGCAGGTGGGGAGGTGGCGATGGGAGGTCGTAAAATAGGTGAAACCTCCACCTTTGGGGGCTTGGGAGGGTCTTCATCCATAAATCGTCGGGGTGTTTTGATGACACGGGAGGAGCGGGCACTCACCACAGGCATAATAAACTGCCGGATATTTTTCAGGAAGGTGGTACTTTTGGGGGCCACGGTGGGACTGTCTTCTGAAGGGCCTCCCATGGTGGTAGTGGGGTTTGGAGTGGGAGGAGAAGTACCCTCTGGCCCTGCCCGAGCAGCTTCCCGCTCTGCCCGTTGGCTGGGAGTCAGGGGAGGCCGGCCCCTCTTCCTGGAGCATGTAGCTGGGACTGCAGGAGGTGGGGACTCTTCTCTCTCCTCTGGGACCAGAGGTGGTGGAGGGGATGGTGGGGGAGGGGGAGACATGCGGACAGGGGGTGGTGGAGGGCAAGGTTGAGGGGGAGGAGATGTTGATGGGGGTGGGAGAGGAGGAGGGGGTGGAGGGGCTGGAGGAGTTAAAGGTGGTGATGGTGGTTTTGCCTCCTCCTTTTCCTCAGCTAGCATCACCTCTTCCTCAGCCTCAGCTTTCTCTTCCTTCTCCTCTTCCTCCTCATCCTTTTCTTCTTCTTTCTTCTCCTCTCCTTCCTCCTCTAGCTTCTGCTCCTGCTTTTTGCAACAAGGGCCCCCTCCTTGTCCAGATTCAACTCTTCTTGGGGGAGCATCCTGCCAACTTTCCCCATGTCGACCTTGACCCTGACCTGATTCAAGTCCCAAGGACAACTGTCCCATCTTCACTTTTTTGGCCTTTGAAACAAACTTGATCACGAGGGGGAGCCCACCTCGGCCTCTGCCCCTGCCTCCACGGCCTCCTCTCCCAGTCTGTCCTCCACGTTTGGGGGTCCCAGGTCCTGGGCCAGGCCCCTCCTTGCACTTCCAACTGCCAGTTCGGTGTTTTACTGGAACCACAGGAGGTGGGGGTTCAGGTTTAGGGATTGTCACAGCCGCTTCTGCTACCACTACTGCTTGCTGCTTCTTCCGGCAGGGGCCTGCTGGCCTTCCTGGGGGCCGTCCCCGAGACCGACGCGGGGTGGAGGGCTCACATGCCCGGCTTCGGGGGGCTGGGGGTGCCTGGGCCCGCCGGAGAAGTTCAGTCAGTGCCTGCACCATCCGTTCTGTGCCCTCCTCGCCCCGTTTCCGGGCAGGGGTCTTTGGGGGGGTAGGTGTCACATCTGATAGGCGAGGAGGAGGAAGAAGGGTCGTCTTATGTTTGCGGCCCCGACCTCGGGGGGCTCGACCTAAAAGGAGAATAGGTGTGGGGAGATGGGTCAAACTAGCCCTGCAGACTGAGGAAGGTGCTCCAGAAGGGCAGAAACTAAGTCCTATTTATCAGTTTCCCCCACAGCCCAGTCTATCTTGGACTCTGAACACAGGACATACTCAGTAACTGACGGAGACTAGCAGAACAGGGAAGAACTGACACAAAGGGCAAGAATAACATTTTTGTAAAGCTACAGAGGTAGAGTTTCCCCCATCACTCACCTCGCTGGGATCGGAGCGCAGAGCGCAGGGAACTGGGGGCCACATCTTCATCTGAATGAAAACCCTGAAACTCCTGATTTAGGGGACCGGGGGTGGAGGGGAGAAACAGCAGTCAGTGCCAAAGCCCTGGTTCCACCTGGGACTCAAGGTATGGAGAAACACCCCCAGCTTACCCCTTAATGTACCTCTGCCTATTTATAAAATAAATGGACTGGAAGGACTTTCCCTACAAATGGAGGCACAAGGTGTTTCTAAACTCCCCTCCCCAGTGCCAGGGGTTCCTGGCCCAGAAGAAAACACAACAGTGTCTCCTCAGGTTAGGCAAGTAAGACCTACACCAATGGCCAACTTCAACTCAGAACAAATTGGAACCTCCATTTACACCCTTTCAGGCCACAGTTTCTTCCTGAAGATGGGAGTAGGGACACCCAAGGGCGGGAAGGAGCAAGCATCAAATAGTTTATCATATCAGGCTGCACTGAGTCCTCAGGTGATTAATAGGGGTCCCAGCAATACAGTCGACACTCTCTTGCTTTTTCTGAAAGGTTAGGGGAATAAATCCTGAGCTGAACTCAGACCAGGCAGAGTGTCCAGTCTCAGCCTCCCTTTCATTCTTCTTCAACCCGTGTCCCAAGAAGCCCTCCACCACTCTACCTTAAGATCAGCAGAAGAACTGGAGCACTGGTGAAACTAGGGATGTGTCAGAGATTGAGATCCTGGGGGAAAGCCTACAGCTAAGAGCCCAGACTGCTCTAGTCTCTAGTCCACTAAAGCCATGCTGCTGCTGTTGCTGCCGTCGCTGCTGTCAACCACCACTGATTGGGCGTGCAGTCCTCATGGCCTTCTCGCCCACACTTCTACTCCTCTAGTCTTGCTACCAAGAAGGATCAGCCCAAGACACTTCGGCAAGACCTGTCTGGGGCCCAAGAGGCTAGCTGCAGACAGGGCTTCTCTATCCACTTTCAGAGGCCCTATCCACCCAAAGCTCTCTGCAGACTACCTCCTTCCACGCTTGTTCCCAGAAGCCTTTCCTCCACAGAAGCCCTGAAGATCCCACTTGCCCACGCCACCCCAAGGGGGCACCCAGGTCCCTGTAAGCCCCCGGCCTCCGCCCCACCCGGCGCGGGGGACGCCTCCGACTACCTCACCTCATCGTCGGAATCCCCGTCACTGCTCTCCTCCTCTGGCACGCAGCCTCGGCCCGGCCCCGGGCCCCAGCCTCGGCCCCGGCCCCGGCCCCGGCCCCGCTGAACGCGCGGGCCGGCCCACAGGCGGCGGAGCCGGCGCAGGCCCCGGCGGAACCCCAGCAAACGGAGCAGGGCCGTATCTTCCCCAAGCTCGGCTCCGCCCGGCCCCGCCGCGCCGCTGCCGCGCCGCAGAGCTACCCGCACTCTTTCGGCCCCGCTGCCCCGTCCGCCGCGGCCCCCGCCCCCGCCGGAGCCCCGCGGCCGGCCCGGGAAGCGGCCCCGCGCGGAGCCAGGCCCCGGGCAACTGCCGCCGCCCGCCGCCGCCGCCATCTTGGCACCGTGAGAGGGGCCGGGGAGGCGGGGGGAGGGGCGGCCCGTGCGCAGGGTCGGGGGGAGGGGAGCGGAGGAGGGGCGAAGCGGGGCGGCTGCGGCTCACGACAACAACCAGCGCCGCCGCGGGGCTGGCGGGAGCCGGGGGCTGGGCCGGCCACGCGCAGGGCACCACGGGAGCGGGAGTCCGGGGCCGGGCGGCCGTCACCCTCAGACCGCACCTGAAGAGAGCACAGACCCTGCGTCCGGGCCGTAGAGGGGCTAGGCGCAGGGGCCTCCGGGAAATGTAGTCCAGACGCCTTGCTCCTTCCGCCGGCGGCTCGGACGCGAGAGCTGAGAATACGGGGTTCCCGACTGGGACCCGGAAAGCCAGTTCCCCGTCTCCGGGAGGTGTGGTCCGCGCCCCAGACTCCTCCCATTGTTCTTGTCGGAGCCAGCGGTCCGAATGGACTACCACTCCCAGGGTGCCGCGGGCTTCAGACCCTGGGAACCCGGCAGACGCTGGCAAATGAAGTTAGCCAGTACGGGAGGCGTGGGCTGGAGAAGGGGCAGCAGCAGAGGATTAGTTTCAGGTCTAGGAGCGACTCGGGAGCCGTTCCGTCGGTGTTGAGACACGATGTTGTGCGCTCAGGGAGAGGAGACGAGTAACCGAAAGCAGAGCCGGAGCATGTGCTTCTTTCCAGTTCTGGGCCGGGCGCGCCCAGATCAGTCAGCGCACCGTGCATTGCTGTGGATGGAGCCAGTGCCTCCCATCTCACAGTTCACCCCGACCCCTGCAAGACCTGACGTGAAGTTTGCCGGGATGCCGGGCCCTCATGGCCCATGGCCTCTGTGGGAGGCCCAGGAACCCGGAGAGATGGAGAAAGTGTCGGTCCCGCTGGTTAGCACAGCCACCAGGGGGCGCTACAAGACAAGGGACTAAGCTGGGGGGGGGGGGGCCGAAACACGGACTGAAAAGCCTGCGCTCGGCTTTCCTGTCCAGACCAGAGAGCACAGGAAACTCTTTATTATGGTGATAAAATCAACAGTCCCCATACAGTTAGTCCTCACTCGTGCGAATTTCAGCCCACAGGAGCTCGCTGACCCAGGCTTCTGTAACCCGCAATCATCCGGGAGAGGGCTCTCGGCTCCTGTCCTGCGGCGCTTCTGAAGTCAGATTTGCTAAATCTAATTGGATTCGTCTGAGGCCAAAGGACCTACCAACACACCGTCAGGTGGTGGTGGAGGGGGCACTACCAGGAGAGGTGGAGGCCTGGGACGGCCTCGAGGATGAGGAGGAGGAAGAGTAGAGGAAGGTGGAGCGTATGGTCCATCCGGGCGGGAGCTGGCTGGGCGAGTGGCCGCGCATGTGCGCCTGCATGGAGGCCAGGCTAGGGCAGCCGGCCCCGCACAGAGGGCAGCGGTAGGGAGCAGCCCCGTGTGTCCGCAGGTGCTTGGTCATGGCAGAGAAGTCCCGGGAGCGCTGAGGACAGAGGCTACAGGAGAAGGGTTTCTCTCCTAGGGCAGAGGGAGGGGGAGGCCATTTAAGGAAGGAACAGGGGACGAAGGCTGACCAAGCCTGGGGTACATTGGGCGACGAGGCTAGGGAATTGCGCCGGAGCCGGAGAGAGGGACCCAGGAGTGGGTAGACCGACGGTAGGGAAGGATGCCGACAGCTTCACACTGGGCTGGGCGCCCATACCTGTGTGGACTCGGTAGTGCGTCTCCATCTGATGCTTGAGTGCAAACCTCTTTCCACAGACAGAGCAAGAATAGGGCCGAGACCGAGCAGGAGGCGGGGGAGGGTGTTGGCGAGATGGGCAGCCTGCCGTGCCCTCATGACCCACACAGGTTGTCCGGGAGCCTGTGTGGACAGAGAAGTCAGAGCCGGGCAGGGCCAGGAATTCCGTAGTCTTAACACCTGGGCAAGAAATCAGTAGGTCCAGTGGGGCTGAAGCAAAAATGCCCTCACCCTACTCACCTGTGCGCTCCTGCCCAGAGTCTTCCATCTCCCCAGGGCTGACCTGCACAGGGCCCTGGGGGAGGGAACCTAAAGGGAGCAGAGTGAGGTGGGGGTCCCTGCTCAGGTCAGGCCTGGGACCCAGCCCCGGGGGAAGAGACCAGTGTGTGCAGGACAGTGAGGGGCTTACCTGGGGTAGGGCTGGAGGAAGCCAACTGATTCTGACTCCAGAACCCTTTAGGGCTGTTCAGGGTCAGAGGGATCCTGGGGGACAGGGCAAGGAAGAATTATAGCCATAGAAAGACCTGGGAGCCTGGTCAACACTGGCCCCTTCCCGAACCCTCACGGCTTGACCCTGGTTGCTCCTGTGGTGGGAATTTCTTGGCCCAATACTGGTTTAGGAAATATAGAGATAAGAGGTATGGTACCCCTCATCCATCACTGCTACCTTTCTTGCACCACTCCCTCCCAGACTAGAGTCTTCCACTAGGCCCTTCACTCACCTCTGGTTCCAAGGCCAGACCTCCTGCCAGGTTCCAGTGCTGGGTGTGCTATGGGAGAAGGGAGTGCCATATCTGGGCGGCCACAGCAAGATGCTCCACAGGGCAGGCTGGTCCTCCCCCAACCAAGGGGCCTCGGCCCACCAAGGCTTGGGGATGATGCTGGTTTGGAGGGAACCTGCTGGGGGAAGGGGACTAGGGAACCCCCGAAGACTTTCCTCAGAGCCCCCTGTTCTCTCTGTCACCCTCACGACCACTCCTTGCTCTCTATCTGCTCCCTGGTAATCAACAGGGATTTGACTGAGTTTCTTCTCTGATCTCATCTCCCCCTGACCTTCTGGTATTGCTCTTGTCATCTCAGAGTACTCTATTGGTGGTTTGTGCCCGTGCAATGTCTCCTGTTCCCTCCCACCAATTCTAAAAAATTTCTTTGGTTTTTGCATCTCTCCGAGCCCCCACAGTCCTCTTTCTGAATCTGAATCCCTTGTGGGTTTCTCTGGCTCCTCCTGATGTTTCTTCAGCCCTTCATCCAGTTCTTCAGCCTTGTCCCTTCGAGCCCTCCTGCATGCCTCTTCCAGGGCCTGCACCCCCAAAGCCCTGGCTGCTTCCTCAAGAGGCCTCAGCTCCCCAGGCTGCAGCTCTACATTCTCCCCATAAACAAAGCTCAAAAGCTGGGCAAAGGTGGAAGGGCTGATGCCTTCTACCAGAGCCCACTGGCCCCTGCAGCCCAGCTGCTGGCTCACACCTGCTAGTACCAGGCTGTGTGCAGGGAACTCCTGGTCTCCTACGGTGATCATGGTATCACATAGTGCTGGCCGGAGCCTGGCTGCTAGCTGGACCAACCGATCAGAGCCATATGGGCTGAACAGTCTTGTTGGGGGGAGGGGCATTTTGCCTTGCCTTGGATACCAATCTTAGGGATTCTTAGAGAAAGACCACAATGTGGGGTCCTTGGCAGAAAGGGGAGGGAGATACGGCATATTCTCAAGCCTGTGGAGGGGAGGGGAGAAAGAATGAGTTTTTGGTCTTTGATCAGAGTTCTCTCTTCTGAATAGACCAAATAAGCTAACCCAAGAGAGGACCTAAACTTATCCAAAGTCATTACAGGAGCCAGTGGTGAAAATGTGGTGGTAAGAGAATGGAAACAGTAAGAACCAGGGCTGGGATTGTGGCTCAGTGGTAGAGTGCTTGCCTAGCGTGTGTAGGGCCCTGGATTCGATCCTCAGCACCACATAAAAAAAGATAATAAAGGTATTGTGTCCAACTACAAGTAAAAAATAAATATTAAAAAAGAGAGAGAGCCAGAGAATTAACAGTTGTGGGTTTAAGACTAGTATAGGAAGCAATCTCTGGCTTAAGAATAGTCATCATGGATACTTCTGCAGAGGAAGACCTCCAAGCTGACTGAGCTTTCCTCATTCTAGACAAAGGGATCACCAAAGAACAGTCAACCCTGGCATTTAGGAATACAAAGACACAATTTCACAGGAGAGCTTAGAAAGCTAGTAGGTCCTCCCCAGACATACCTGAAAGCCAGAGAGGGCAGCAAGACAGTGGTCATGGCTGCAGGAGGGTCAAAGACATCCCTCAATCATCTCCCTGAGGCTGAAGCTTCTAGAATACATCTTTGAAGGAGGAACTGGAAGAGACTAAAGACTCCCATCCAGTGGGTTAAGAATGCAGATTCAGGAGCCACAGAGAGAAGGCTCTTGACCCGGTGATAGAGTAGGGTTTTGGAGAAGACTTTGGTGCCTGAGAAAGTGAGAGAAAGGGAATGGAAACTATAGAGAGAGGAGGCTATTCTCTCCCAACATGAGGGTAAGGAGATGGTTTCATTTTGTTTCTCATAAGTCAAAAAGTGAAAAATAGAAAGAACTGTACAAGTCACATCAAAACCACCATATGGGCTCTTTTCTCTTTTTTGCCATACTAGGGATTGAATCCAGGGGTGCACTATCAACTGAGCTACATCTCCCCCACTTTTATTTTTAAATTTTGAGACAGAATCTCACTGAGTTGCCCAAGCTGGCTTTGAATTTGTGATCTCCTGACTCATCCTCCCAAGTAGCTGGGATTACAGGCATGCAATAAGGCTCCTGGCTCCATCATATTGACTTTTAAGAAGAGAACTGAGAACTCAGATACAAACAGAAACACAGCTTAGAGGCCAGCCAATACACCAGTCCTGGGTGCAGGTTCTCCATAAGGACCCTTGTAGAAGAGAGAGTTATGACCTGGATGCCTCAGGGAAGTTACAGGTTGGTAAGAAGTAGACAGGAAGAGGGGTGTAATGGGAGGAAAGCCTCAGCTGGGGAAAGGTATCCACTCACCGGTTGTGTCTGCCTCCTGACACCACATGCTCTGAAATGCTGTTGGGGATGCTGCCCCCCCACCCCCGAGTTAGCCCCGCCCCTGACTTCAGTCCTCCATTGGATGCCCCAAGTATCAGTCTGCCATAGTCCCCCAAGAGGGTGTGGCTTTATGCCTCTGCTTTACCCTGCAGGGGAGAGATGGCCCTTGTACTTCCAGAACCCAGCCTCTTAACGTCCTGTCTCTTCATT